AAAATATTTAAATATATTTTATTAATAAAATAAAGAAAAAAGTATATAAACAATAGCTAAAATGAACCTCTACAGTAAATTCAGCCAATACAGTTTGAAAAGTAACTTCAAACTAATTTTTTTACTACACAACTCAACGCGCGAAATCAAAAGTTATGTGTTTATTGAAGCAGTTGACGATACGTCTCACAAGCTGAAAATAGGGTTACCAAACGGGCTAATATTGTTTGATACCTAGTATAAGAATTGGAGAAATGTATCTTTTCAATAATAACACTAGCAAATTGGGTTAAAAGTAAGAAATACAAAAGTAGTACTCCGTATTATTTTTCTTACAAAATTATTTGCCCGTATTGACCTCTCTTAGCTAATGATAACCATGTTTGGCCAAATTGTGATATTACTGCTATTTTTAGATCATATCTATTAGAGAAAATTGGGTGTATCTTTAATATGTAACTTTAAGTTAATATCTTGAGTTAGTAAAAATAAGGTAAATAGCTTTTAGGGAAACACACGATCACATTATGTCCCTTTTAACCTTACGGCACTTCCCATCTCTCTCACTATCCCACTAAATTCGCACCCAAGAAAAGATCCCGCCTCTATATGGAGAAGGCACTGATAAATCGTAGTTTGCAGCAATTTTCATGTCAGCAACCTAAATCCATAACAAAGGTAAAAATTTCCATTATCGATTATATCTTTGTTTTTCAATTTCAATTTTTGACATGACATTCTCAATTCTCGAGTCTGCGGAGAGTTCTTAATCCCAGTAGAGAATTGAATATCCACTACATACTATCATACGTGTTACTGATTTCTTTTTCTCCTTGAGTTTGTAGTGCTTTTGAAAAAAAAATCCGTACTTTCTTTTGCAATCTTGGGTAACAAAGGATATTTAGGAATGAGGATATTTTGAAAAAATTATCCGTACTTTCTTTTTACGTTATCGAATATAGCCATTAGGAAAAGAAAATTGATCTCCAAAGGTGAATATAGCCGGTTGTAACGAACTATGTTTAGGAATGAGGATATTTATGGTATTAAATGTTTATCGGCTTTATATTAATAAGAAAAGTGTTATATACTTCATTAAATATAATAGATGCTATTAACTTCAAGTGACCTATTTTTTATGGTTATATAGCAATTTTTCCCTATATATTATAGTTAATGATTTTAGTGATTATATTTATGAAAAAGCTTTTATACACTTATGCAATATTTATAACAGAGAACATTTTCATATAATTATATAACTTTCATACTTTGAATATTTTCTACCAATTCTACACTAACTACTGCACTTTATTTTTAAATTAGTTATGAGTGTTCATATGAGGGTGGAAGTTTTAAAGTCAGTTTTTAAGAGAAATTGTTTGTGATATGATAGTACCAAAAAATATTGTTTGTGATAATTTAATGATACTATACAAACAATAATTTTTGTATCAAAATTTTCTCGATATCATACGCAATTTGACAAAAAACCGAGCCACAAACAATTTTTGTATGTGACTCAAAAAATTTAATTAATAAGTTCACAAACAGCTTTTCCATAATCAATTAATTACTTGCCGGCCGGCGTTATCGATCATACGGAAAAACTAAAGAATGAAAATACGTCGCAAGGTACGAACCAGTTCGTTTGACGCGGCCGTCGTCGTCAAAGTTGGGATGGTCGCAACCACCCTCTAATTCTACACCGCCGGCGGAGCTTCTCTCCATTATATATTGCTGCGGCGTCTGGCCGATAAGATGATAGGATGGATCTTCACGACGGACGGACGGATCTTTCCAGTTCCGGTCAGAAGGAATAATAACAATAATAGGGCACGGCGGTTGGCGGTGGCGGTCTTGATCGATTGCAATATATATAAACCTAATAATGACAATCTATTATATGCATTCACCGTGCATGCATGCAAATCATGTATCACGTTGAATTGGAGGATAGATAGATGAAATGGACGCAAAACATAATTCAACAAGCTAAGCTCCCAACTTCATATAACTAACTGAATACATTAACTAACTTTGCCAACATGCTATATATATACACTCCCTATTGTTTTTAAACATTAATTAACGAACTTTTCGGTTAGAGTACACACATGCATACATTAATTCAGCACACATATATGTCTACATGCATTGATGCATGTGTATGTATGCGCAATTGCGCACATGCGCAGGGGCGGATCCAGGAATATGGATTACCCTGGGCTGAAGTGCAACTGTACAATCATACTAGACTTAAACATTGGCGGAGTACGTGGGCTAAATATAAAAAATTTAAAAATTTACACTAGAAATGTTGAAAAAAGTTTAAACTACCCTGGGTTTCAGGCCACCATGGCATGTACATAAATCCTCCCTTGCACATGCGGCATGGGTTTCGAGACGGCCAATTAACATAATTAATTAATTAACTACGGTTCAGGGGATTCAGAAATGTGAGTTGGATCGATTATATATATTGAGTTGAAGTCTGACAAATAATTATACTTGACTTAAACATAGTAGAGTATCGTGAGCTAAATTAAATATGAAAAACTTTCAGCCAACTATAACCCTAACATAGTTCCTTCCTTCGGTTCACCTCAAATTTGATAAACATATAGGAAGTACTACGGAGTACTTAGAGCATCTTCAATGCTAAAACGTTAACGGTGCATACGTGGCATGAGAAACAATCATTGAAAATCAATAAATAGAATATCTATCCCTTATTTGAAGGATCTTACATCATTTCGGTTTGTTTTTCTTCACAATGTCAAGCACAATGTCTAGATGTAGACATTGTGGTTGACATTGCAGACACAAACTTACCAAAAACGCATAAGACTGTGGAAAGAAGGAGAGAAATATTATAAAATCAATATTTTGTGTCTATCTCTCTCATGCCACATGTGCACCGTGCACATTGCATCATTGGAGATGCTCTTAGTATATACTATGTATGTACTATATGTATTTAACACGTTTAAAAGTGTTGTTTGTTTGTTTTAGCGGTGTTCACATTATTACATTAAAACTTTGCAACAAAAAATGATCACGTGCAAAATTTAAAGAAATAATCACTTCCAAGGATGTTTTTACTTGGACTGTAATTTGTCCCAGACCAGACCAAACCAGATCAGACCAGACAAACCATACAAGACTTGGGTAGTTATACAAATACAAAGAAATTAAACCAGACCAGACCAGTTCAGACCAGACCAGTTCAGACCAGACCAGACCATAACAGACCAGCATGTAAATTCATTGTGCTTTATAAAAAAACACACAAAGTATTTGCACGCCCTCCCCGGCCTATATATACTACGTATAATTATATATACTACGTGTTATAAGTCTTATGGGAGATCAGCATCACCCTTTGATTCAGGGCTTAATCGCCCAACTTGTTGGCACCACAAAGTGGTGCAGCCCCTCATGTCCATCCACCAGTTAGTAGTGGGGCTCTGCACTGCCGTAGTGAACTGCCGTAGGAATCTACCTCAACTCGGGGACTACAAAGTAATGAGTTAAATAGAGGGTGTCCACTTCCTTATCACCAATTGGCTTTAAGAAAGATATGACTGCTATTTAACCACAAAACTCTGCAGTTAAGCGAGCCCAGGGTAAGAAAGCCCGAGGATGGGTGACCCACTAGGAAGTTTGTCGAAAGGGGTGAATCGATCCAACACTACGTATACTACGTATATATATAAGATATTTTAAGATAATGCGAAATGTTTAAGAAAATGTAACCGAGTTCACATTAAAGTTTCAACACTCAGATCAAGTCAAATGATCAATGTAAACTCTCATCTCCACATTCATAAATTACACAGATCAAGTCAAATGATCAATGTAAACTCTCATCTCCACATTCATAATTATTTTACATCCTAGAAAATGTCCTTTTGTACTAGTATGAATATTCAAGTGACTACACAATTGTACTGTGTGTGCACAAGCACGCCTACTGCCTACATATGTTTTCAATGATAATGATCGACTTCTGAGTTCTGAGAGTGATTATAGTGCATTTATGGAAGCTTTGGGTTTGCTTTGTGAGAAGTGATTAATTTTAAATATTTTATGAAAACTGATTACTGGGAAAATATTTTAAATATTTTAAATATTTTCCCAGTCTTTGAGAAAGAAATGATTTTTTTTTAAAAAAGTTAAAGTATTTGATGAAAAAGTGTTTTTAATAGAGAAAAAAAAAACATTTTCAAACATATCCCTTACTCCTTGCTAGCTTTAAATTCTAAAGTGTTTAATTTAAGAATGAAATTGTTATTCGAAAGCATATATATTAACTTTTTAAAAGCATATACGGAGTATATTAAATTTTTTAAAGCTACATGCTTATATTTTTCAATCGTGCAATCGCTTAATTCGAGATCCAATGGCTTATGAGTTACATCATCTGATTTTGATTGTCGTACTTTTCATATTTCCCTTTTTGGTAAGAAATTTGTGTTCCCGATCCAATGGCTTATGAGTTACATCATCTGATTTTGATTGTCGTACTTTTCATATTTCCCTTTTTGGTAAGAAATTTGTGTTCCCTTTTTGGTAAGAAATTTGTGGTCTATATGATTTCACTTTATTCTACTCATATCTTAACTACAATTTTTATTTTTCAACCATTATTTTCTTTCATCTTACGTGTTGTAGTGCTTATAAAGCTGTCACTAAATTTTGGGTGAATGGATGGGTAAAATATCTTGCTGATGGGAGCTCATTTGGGAGCTCATTACAAATTATAATGGAAATGGATCTCTCCGGATGCTTTTCGAAATATTATACGATTAATTTAGTGATATTATCATTAAAAAGTGTACAAAGTTAAGCACCACTTATGATTTATAACAACTGTAGTTTTGTGCCTTGCTAGATATAAAAAGTCGCGCCTCGGTCAAACATACTCTGTTTATGTGACGGATCATAAATCAGATGTAATCAAGGCCTATGCTTGATTTCTTTTGGGATGTGAAACTGCCTATTCCTGCTCATATAATAATGATATAAAACAATTGTGCCTACATATGAACGAACATTTAGACTGAATGCAAACTGCCTATTCCTGCTCATATAATAATGATATAAAACATGCATTTCTGCTGATACAAAGAGCCAGCCAATTCATTTGAAGACACCTTCACGAAATCACGGCAATAAGATGCATACTTTACACGTCAGAGAAAAGATAAACCTACTTGTAAAATCCTAGATTCTAACAAAAAGAAAAATAAGCAAAAGGGCAAAATATGCATAAACATGTACGTAGTACTTCACATCTGTAAAGTGGGGTTTACTTCTTCGATTTAGAACTTTAGATCATTGGCCTTCTGTGATATCCTTTCTTCTTCAAGGAGTGCATAAGGATCAACATATTTCGGCGGAGTGATGTGGGTGTTGCTTGCGTCGTGGATAAATTTGGGTCCAGAATACTGTTATTTAAAATGAACATGTCTTTGTTATTCAAATGGGCGAGGTTCAAAGCGGGATATAAAATAAAATTTCATCGTTTTGCTGAGAAAAAAGAGATGGTTGAGACTTAAGACACATGGCACATCATAACATTGGACTTACCACGTACAAAGCAGAGAAAAATGCAATGATTACTAGGATCAATGGGCCAAATCCCAAAAAGAATGACCCTCCAAGGGTAAGCAAAAGCTTAGCTCGCGGAATTAAGCCCTGAAGAAAGTATTAGGATATGAGGAAAAATAATATATTGTGGAAAAAAACTGAAAGAAAAAAAACTGTGCAAACCTTAAAGAAAAGTAACTTGAAGTAAATGCAAGAAACATGGACTGGTAAATTCAGTCCTTAGAGTTAGCTCTTGGATAGCTGTCTCAGCAGGGGCGTAGCTAGGATTGAAGGTTGGGCTGGACCGGTACAAAGAATTTTTCAGATAATTTTTTTTCACATAAATTTTTACACTAAAAATACAAAACAAAATTCAAATTTGGGGCGGGCCGTAGCCCGGTTGGTCACCCCTCTACCTCCGCCCTTGGCTGTCTGCCCGTCTGATTGTCTTAGAAATAAAAAGCACCTTGAGTGCATGTAGAAATACAGATATTTGTAGAGTTCTAGAGCATATATGCAAACTTAACAAACATCCCTAAAATACAAATCCTTTGGGGGTTGTTAGCATGGGTGAAATTGGTAGAATTAGAAGTGTAAGGTAATTTATTTGCTGAAATGACTGATGGGTGTGGAAATAGATTAAAGGATATGTGATGAGTTTCTATTTGAGAATTGAGGCCACACAAAATAGGGTAATCGTGCGTCTGTGCCATTTAAGTTGATATTAGCAAAATCAGCCAAACAATGGGGGATTTGGTTATTCTAAACAAAACTCTCAAGCTTATCAGCGCATTTAAGCCCACAAAACTGGGTTTAGAGTGTACAAGTCCAATAAATCAAAACTCAGAAGTGATGTGATACAAAAAGAGGTTATGGGAAGTTGGGAACTATGTGTAGATCCAGTCAACTAAACAAAAGTAACACACAAAATATAATACTCCGTAAATGCAAACCTCAATGCCTTCACTATTTAGAGCCATAGACTGCTCTCTCTGATTATATAAGTTTCTTCCTGATTCTGTTGAGACAGCACTTTTACGAAATAAGTTTCCATCTTCTTCCTTGATTGTCGTTCCACTCTCATATATCTTTTTGTTGCTTTCTTCAAGTAATGAAGTAGGAGTCATGCCTCGTCTTTTTAACTCTTTGACAAACAATGACTCAGGAGGTTCTTCCCCTGAACAAAACATGAAATTAAAAAGAGCATTAAGAAGGTGGTAAAATATTTAACAATGGAACCCAATTCTTGCCAGAAGGATTGTGCAAAGCCAAAGATAAATTATACCAGCACAAGAATGATATGTTACTCAAAAGTTTTTTTTTTTTTTTTTTGCATTGGCGTTGGGAGTTTAAACACCTTCAGGGTATTTATTCAGCTTAACATTGGAATTTACTTGTTCTCTGGTCAGTTTAAAATAATCTGGGGAGTGGGGAGTGATTACCAAATTATATTCAAATTATGCTTTGTTTGGTTTGGATTTATTATGTAAATTACAAAAAGATTCAGGTTTTGTTGTATATATAGTGTATACATGTGTTCTATTCCGTTTGGTATTAAAGTTTAACAAACAAAAACAGAATTGCATATGATCCGTCCAATTTCAGTTGACTTTAGTTCTTTTTTCCACGGTCAAACCAGACCAAACACAAATTCTCACTGCTATGTATTGCTAGCAACCTGTAGTGGATTACAAAAGTGCAAAAGATAAGCACACTATCTGTAATCCGAAATTGTAACCCAAAAAGGAAAGAAAAGATCGAAAATTTAATCACAAAGAATTTAAGTTAAATCATAGACGGATTTACCTTCGCTTGGATTTTCGTTATCCTGGACTGTACATGAAACCCTAAGCTTCGGATCAATCAATAATCTAAACTTCCGATTCCACGTGCTACAAGAACGAAAAATTCTTCTGCTCCCACTTTTTGTAACCAATGAGCTGAAAGTCGAGCAATTACAGGGCATTTTTGTGAGAGGAGTGAAGTGTTTAATCGGTAAGGACGACAGAGTATGTCTCATAGAGAGGTAAGCCATGATTCAGGATAATATCTGTCTGCGAATGCTTCAAAGCAGCAGCAAAATCTAATCTGAAATGAGCTATTCCATTGCAGAGGATCTAGATTTCATTAACCGGACAGAAGGAAAACGTGCTGAAGAGAACGTGAGGCAAGTTTCCAGAGGGAGACAGAAAGAGAGAGACACGGCTGCTGAAGGGGTGGTGGGGCACATTAACATCGACGGCGTGGATTGGCAATATGATGATGTGGCACTTCTTGTTGTTGTTGTTGACAGAAAAATCTAAGTTATTTTTCTAAGAAACTGTTAATATAATTGTACAATCGAAAATATCAATTAGGTGCTCATATTTTTAAAAATAAATCAAATTTTCGAACTTTGAAAAAAACGATTTTATTAGCAGGTTACCTATCACGTGTGTGTCATGTCAGCAAAGTCAATGTTGATTGGGCTGTCAAATGTGTGTCACGTCAGCAGGTTACTTGCTAACATGACGATAACTTGCTAATGGACTCGATTTAATTTTTTTCAAAGTTCGGAAATTTAATTGATTTTTTAAAAGTACGGAATATTAATTTGACGTTTTTGTGATAGTACAAATACCAAATTGATAGATTTCCCTGCTTTTAATGTTTTATAAAAGTTGTTTGTGTACGTTTTTGTGCGTAAATTTTTCGTATCGCCGGCTGTAGGGCAGGCACTAGCCACTAGGAAGCAACAAATGTGACTGCCCTAGGCCCGGAAAAATAGAAAAAGGCTCAATACTTTCTCTTCATATATAGTGTGAGTAAACTTTTTTTTATGTATTCTTAAGTTCAATTAATTAGACGTAAGGTTGAATTTTGTTGATACTCTGTCTATACTTAATTAGTCAGACTTCCTAATCAGGATTGGCCTTTTCACCTCAGGGTTGCATTTCATCTCAGGGTTGCAGTCAGTGTTAGAGAGTGTTTGCTCTTGCTTCTAGTTCAAAAAAATGTTTTTAAATTGATTTTGAAGAAAGTACTTGATAGTAAAATTTGGCACTTGGTAATGTTTGAGAAAAAAGTGATTCTAAAAAAATAAAAAATGGTAGTTTTTGATAAAATAAGTGTTTTTTGTGTAATAGAAAAAGTGAAAAGAAGTTTAAAACACTCTTCAACCTGCTTCCATCATTTAACTTTTAAGTGCATAATTTAAACAGAATGTCATTTAAAAACATGTTGGATAATTGATACCCATATTGTATAAACAGGAGAAATTGAACAAGAGTGAAGAAGAAATGATGAAGAAGAAGGAAATGTGTATAGAATGAGTATGGGTTATATCAGTTACAAGCCTCCTACAAGGAGTATATATAGGGAAAATCCGGGTCTGGGCCTCTAATATGGGCCTGACAGACCCGGTTACATAAATGGACTGATAGTATAAAAAGCTAATCTAGAACATCTGAATAATAATAATAATGTACAATAATATTAATGATATCCGCTAAACGTGTGTGGGCCGCTGTCCAGACCTAGTAGTCGGCATACCGGGGGGTCGGAGTCCATATAATCCATCAAAACACTCTTTTCATTTTTTTTATACCAAAAACCGAAAAAACACTTTTTTTAAGTTTTAGCAAAAAAGGAGGTGATTATTACCTCCTTCAGATTCATTCTTCTTCTTCTTCAAGAATCATCTTAGTTGAAATCCAACTGATTCAAACTGAGTTGGAGGTAAAGTATTCTTCTAAGTTCTAAATTGTACGGAGTATAATCCATCTTTCATTTGATACCGAATTCCAATTTGCTAGGTTTATATCACTTAAGAATGTATTCTATTAGAGCGCACATTTATTTTAGTGTATAAAGGATTTTGCATAAGCACTATTAAGCATTGAGTCGTGATTAGTGCATAGCAGTCTAACCAGACAAAAGCTTACATCAGAATCCATGCACCTAGGCATAATCGCTTTTAGATCTACTAATCTAGCAATCTATCCAGGCAGCCTGATTAACTTCTTCCACGAATGTTTCTATTATAATTGAAAGACTGTCATGTCATTTTGTTAACAGTGTATTGAATGGATCACTTTCAATTCAAAGTGGTTAAAGATTCCATTTTCAACTATTGATGTCAAAGCTTCTTTAGTTTTTAATGTTGAGGCCACTGTAAATGTGGTAAGAAGAAGACCAGTGAATTCACTTCTAGCTAAAAATACAAATGCTGAAATTGCATTTAAGCATGTTGGTGATTATGCACTGATAAATGCATACTGGACCTCATTCAACTGCTTTAATTCTAGACATCAATGCATAGGTTACCCCCTTTTAAAAATTTTATGAAATACTCCAGATGACTATAATGCTTTGGACTTCTTGCTGTCAATCCTATACATAATTGACATTGAACCTATAGCACTGAAGAACAGTGTCTCCCATGTGTGATATAGCTTAATTGTTTCCACTTAAATAGTACTCCCTCCGTCCCCCTAAGTTTGTCCCGTTTTACCTTTTTCGTCCGTCCCACTAAGTTTGTCCCATACCATATTTGATAATATTTGAGTGGTTAGAATTCATTCTTACTTTATTCGCACTTTATCAAATCAATACCAACCACATAATTCTACTTTTTCTTAAAAACCACACCACACCCCTTTGTCCCAAACTTAGGGGGACGGAGGTAGTATCTTATTTGGAACCCAATTTAATAGAAAATGAAAAGTATAGTATGGAGCAAATAAAAGAGCTAACTTTTTCCAAATAGTCAGTACTTAAATGAGCATATTCTTAAGCTTCCCTTTCTGCTCACTCTGTTATTGATTCTTGATAGTAATGGCTTAAGGGTGAGTCAGAAGTAAAAAAGCTTTGTTGATGCATTTGTATTAGTGAGTAAATGGCCCTTAGCTTCCTTCTTTAGTTTTAGTTTAAAAGATCTTAGAATTAGATTTTTTTTTCTCTTGAACTTTAATTGGGAAAAGTATGAATTGCTGAAATCCATAAATATAAAAATAAAGTAGAGCATTTACGCCGCAACAATAAGAATGATTTGAGAGAGGGATCCAACAACTTTCTTATCTGATTTTTATTTACCATAAGGATAGTGTTTTTACAAGAACTTTGCTCAAATAGTGCTGAAATAAAAGTATGGATATTTTCCATAAACTATATACTCTCTCCGTTCTCTAATACATCTCTCTTTCCATTTTGGGATGTTCTCCAATACATGTCTCTCTTTCCATTTTAGAAAGTTTTTTCAATAAATTTTCCTACTTTTTCATTCTCTTTCCTACTTTTTCATTCTCTTTCCTACTTTTTCCTTTACACACAATCCACTACACCTTTTATCTTACTTCTATTAATTTCTTCTTAAATCTTGTGCCAAAGGCTATAGAGTCATCTATTAGAGAACGGAGGGAGTATCACTTTTGCTGAAATATGTGCTGACATAAAACTATGGATATTTTCCATAAACTATCACTTTGCTTACTTTCCAAAGGCAGTTACAGTTAACTGGATAATATGGATGTGGCCTAGTTTTGAAATAACCTCTCAAGTCTCAATACTTCCTTATAATATTATTATATGCTTCCTTTTCTTACCTTCCAGTTTGAGTATTGTTAAGTTTGATATCACTTATTGTGAAAAAAGAGGACTACTTTAACCATAACCTAATTAAGTTAAAAATTGAAAGGGTTGCAGTTGCAGGTATCATGCTGTGATAAGCTCAATTCATTTATGGAATATCGGGTGAGGTGATAGGTTGTGGGGATTGGATAACTCAAATACAAAAAAAAATTGTTTAGATACCATGCCTTTAAGTAAAAATATTTAGAAACCCTCTTTTTAACTTTAAAAAAACAGTTTAAAAATGTTTAGTTTTTCTTTTGCTTTTGTAATGGCTAAAAATTGTTGGATTAGTTGTCGGTTTACCCTAACAAGATTGGTTGGATAAAAATGTCTGTTTATGATAATAATCATAAATTATTTTTTAATAATTAAAGATATGTCTGCTACTTTTTCCTTAAATGCTAAGTTGGATGCAACACATAAATAGAAGTAAGAAAGAATATAGAAAAGCAGTTGTCAATTTCATTTGTTTTCTTGCTATGGTTGTGGTTTGTAATTATCCCAGCCATTATTTCAGTTTTGCTTATTTTACCTGGATGTTTCTTATACACTTCTTAAGAGAGTAATTTATTTTTACTGCATTTATTTGGTTACAGGTTCAACGTGACATGATTGCCCTTCTGTCTCATTATTTCATATTTACTGCGCACAGTTCATATGATCGATCATATCTTACTCGAAATCAACTTAGTAGTAACAGCAGTGACCAAGTGATATGAGGAATTAGAGTTATTGAGTTGGACATTTGACCATGTTTTTCATTGGAGGTAAGGTGTCTTTCTTAGATGTTTATCCTGTAGTTGACCAAGTGGTTGTATTATCTTAAACTTGATCATATTTTAATATTCCTTTAGAAACACTACACAATCGTATATTAATATCAAAGGCTTGTTTTTGTGTTGGTTTAACATTGTTTTGTTTTTTACATTCTTTTTTTATCCGAAAATTGTTACTAAATAAAAAAGGAAAATGTGTGTGTGTGTATTTAATAGGGTGTGGCTGCCCCCAATAAATGTACAATAGTGCCACATAGATCATAAGTGGGGGGACTCAGCCCACACATTTACCCCCAACTAAAAAAAGTTTGTCCCCCATAGGTGCAAAAACCTAGCCTTCTAACACAGTTTTAAAGTAAAGAATTTCACATTTTCATCATAGGCTAATAGAGAAGGTAAAATTCACAATAGTTGGATTTTTTTAATCCCTAAACAAAAAAAACCAAAAACAGTTGAGTCCTGCCTTGCTGACTTGCTTTCCTAGATTAGCTTGTTGGTTGAGCTGGTTCGAGCTCCTTAGCTGCTAGGCACACTGATCAGGCAGGCATGGTGAAACACTGATCTCGGGTTTGGATCTGCCAATCTAGATCCAAATCTTGGAGATCCAAATCTTGGGGCCTAGCAGGCAGGCATATGAGGCTCTGGGCCTAGTGACCTAGTCCCATGCCCCCATCACTTACCTTGTTTATTAGTCACTTCTTTTTCCTTTGAGACAACTTTCAAACATTGACCAAACTAGCAAACATAGCCACATACACATGCAAGTTTATGAACGATAGAATACCTGAGTAAGATTTTAGTAGTACGTAGTACTATTTAACCATAACCTAAAACCAAATAAATTAACATTCAGAACATTATTATCTTGCAGCAGACAACTCAATAGCACTATGTCTAAATGTTGAATTTTCACTCCATTCGATTCGTTTGTCCAGCCAGTCATATTCTTGCGTACGGTTCACTTCAATATGTTGCCATTCTCTCCACCTCTCCGCGAGCCCCTCTCCTTCTAACATTCTTACAACTACTGACATTGCAGGTCGTTCTTCAGGCGAAGCCTGGGTGCATAGCAATGCAATCTGAATAATCGTCTCTAATTCCTCTTTGTCGTACTTGTTATTCAGGTTGCCATCTACAATAGCATGCAACCTATTTTCTCTTTTCAAATTCTTCACCTTCAAATGAAATATTTATGTATTTTATCAATTGTTGTTGTAGGAGATGTGTATTAAAAACTGTGCTCATAATTAGTCATAACACTTACAGTAGTATTTATGGAGTATTTCTTTTGTGATAGGAATTTGGTGAAACCAACTTCCATTATGACTATTAGATCACTTCAATGTTTCAAATTCTTTTCTCAATAATATTAAAATATTTTAACTTAATATAAAGTACTCCTATCATTTTCCTATCATTTTCAATAAACCATGCCAAGTATGTTATACTAAAATTAGGGTGGGCACGGTAATGATACTACCAGAATCTTATGAAGGGTATAGTTTGAAACAGTATGATACCAATACGAGACACACTAAAACAACCAATATCATCTTTTTTGAAACAGAACAGTGCAATATCATACTGTGACGAAATCATTCAAAAATTGCAACCATCAAGACACTTTTTATTGATGGATTTTAAAAACACATAAAAATATATAGTATAATGAAAACAAGAAATATAAAGAATAATTATTTGAAGTCTGACACTCAAATGGATACTTAAGATATAAAACTACTAATTGTAGTAAGTTTACCATCTAAAATACACGAACTAGTAAACTAAGCTCAAAATTGTAGAGTATGTGTTCTTAGTAAGTAGGATGTGCACTATGGCCACTTAACTTCTTTCATATGTCTAGTAGCTAGCTAGACAAGATTAATAAAGAGTAAAAAAAACTTATAAATTAATGAATAACTAAAAATAGAAGATTAAAGTATTGATACTAAAAATAAAATTTAAAATATAGGGAAAGTTCCCGAAACAGGACTAAAACAGTTTGAAAATTCCAAAATAGGACTGTCATGTTTTTTATTCCCAAAATAGGAGTAATTACTGTCAAGTTTGGAAAATACTGTCATGTTTGAAGGTTTGGTACTGCCAAAACATGGCAGTAATTAGTCCTATTTTGGGAATAAAAGCATGTGATTCCTATTTTGGAATTTTCAAACATTTTTAGTCCTATTTCGGATAATATTCTCTAAAATATATGGCCTGGCTTAGGATAATCGTTATATAAAAAGTGTGTATTGATTCCATTCCATTTGAGATTTTGAGATTGGTTCGGGATTAGCATTAAAAAAGAACATCCCATTTTAGAAATTGTTAATAGGTCGTTGGTCCATTATAATCCTATTGACTACCATGGTTCTGTACTATTATTGCCACCCCTGGTAAAATGGAGACATGAATAGAAAATGCCAAACTTACATGATCAAGAAATAAAACATCATCTTCTTCTTCATGGCGAGAGAAGTCAGCCACACGTTGACCTGTAACAAGCTCAAGAAGCATGACTCCATAGCCAAAAACGTCAGTTTTCTCTGATGATTTTCCCGTATGCAAGTACTCGGGAGCAATGTGTCCCATCGTGCCACAAACTCTAGTGGTCACATTGGTCTTTCCAACATCTACCACCTTTGCCAACCCAAAATCACCCACGACAGCTTCAAAATATTCATCTAATAATACATTTGCAGCCTTAACATCACGGTGAATAATTTTTGGGTTACAATGCTCATGTAAATACTCAAGTCCACGTGCAGTGCCCAATGCCACTCGGTTTCTAGTAGGCCAGTCCAGAACAGCCTCCCCAGGTTGAAGTTCTAAAAGTTATTTCAGTAAAAAACACCCAAAATAGTATGATAATTAGATGTTAGAAAGAAATAAAAGACCGAATTCACTCACAACATTTGCTCCAAAAGGAGCAAGATGAATTTATGTTAGAATATAATGTCATGTAAGGAGGAACTTTTACTAGATCTAGTATAAAGTATGAGATAAATCTCACCTCTTAAAAATATTATTTTTTTGTGTGAGTTAAGTTTAATTTCATAATGGAACAAGTCTCGTACATTAATCATGAACTATATAAGAGATAAGAAACTCAAAAAATCTCTAACCGATAAAAAACTAGTGAGTGTCAATCATTAAAAAGCTCAAAAAATGATGAAAAATGATATTACCTCGTAAACGAGAGGCAAGACTTAAATTCGGCATAAACGGGTAAACTAGAAGGGTTCTGTTATAGTGGTGCAAAAGCCAATGAGCCTTAAAAGATTCCGATGAACTGCAACACTTATCATCTCAACCTCGCGGTAGAAAGCAACATCTCCACTAGGACTCTTGTAGTTTGTTAACCTTTTAACAGCAATCTTCGTATTATCTGCGAGTACTCCTTTGTAAACTTTCCCGAAACCTCCCTGTCCAAGTACATTCTTTTCACTAAAGTTGTTTGTAGCAATTTGCAACTCTGTCCATAAAAACCTTCTTAACTGATTGAATTCAATCTGTCGGTCAACTTCTCCTGAATATAACAAGGGCCATCTGGCCATTTATCTATTGATAATGAGATGGAGTAAGATATATGTGACAAACATTAATGCTTATAGTGCAGCATATATATCCACTTTCCACAAAAGGAAAGAATAGAAAGATAAGAATAAGAAAGCAACTATGTTACTCATATTGACCATACTAAAAAAAGTATGTACTGTTAATACCAACCTGCAACATCTTCAAAGTCGGCCCCTCATACAAAATAGTAGTAAGCCTCCCACAAGAACAATAAGTCCAACAACAATAGCAACAACCCCAGTCTTTGATTTACTTGGGGTAACTGCCCACAACAGAAGGCTAACTCATCACGGAAAGGCCAGACACAGCATATGAAAATGAATGAGAGCCGTCCCTTGTACACACTAAAAGTGTTTTTACAAAGAGTGCAAATTTACAACTAAATCAGCACATAGGTACAACTACTTTATAATACTTTCCTGGTTTCTTTTATGAGAATCTTATGTACTGTGTAAAAGGGTTTTCCCAGATTAGTATGAAGTATGTACTAGTTAAGATTTTTATGTTGAGACGTCCTACACGGGTCAAATAAAAAGGTATAGGCTAACATTTAGAACTCAAATCTATGTTATCACACGTACAAACTATGACCTTCGGATACTTCTCTTATCAAGTTGAACTTTTTGGTGGAACCAAAGTTTTAATACTCTAGTTCAGAAATAAAAGCATTGACATTTTATTTACCGTTTCTAGATTCACACCGCCGGCTAAAATTGAAGCCACAGTTCAAATGGTTACCTGTAAAACTGGAACAAATAATCAAGGTTGTCATATAAACATGTCAGCAATCATATACGTAGTATGAATTAAACTATCCTAGAAAGCAAGAGGTTGGTCTACTTGTATTGAGACACTCCAAATAAACTTATAGGAATTTGACCAGTAAGACTATTGGAATCGAGGTGCCTGCAATTAAGAACATCTCCATAAAGTTAATTTAGGAATGGCATGCCCCTAGCCCCCTACTATAGTAGGTTCACAAGTATATAAAGTAGCACCCTAGTCATATATAATAAAAATAATAAGTGCAGCAAATAATTTACATGGAAATGGCATTTCCAACAAGATGAGGTTCATGAGTGATGACTCACAAGTTAGTTAAGCTTGGAAGGGTTGAAAGAGATTGAGGGATTGTCCCGGTGAGATTATTCTGATTCAAATACCTGTTTGTATGCATTGTGAAAATGTAGGCGAAAACAAAAAACTTGAGCGAACTGTGGGCGATAACTTACAAGGACTGGAGCATCTTGAGGTTTCCAAGCGAAGGTGGTATTTCTCCGGACAATTGGTTGTTTGTCAGGTCAACCATTGTCAAACTTGACAGATTTCCAAGTTCTTCAAGAATCCTACCAGTTATCCTATTTCCTTGCAACGATCTACATCATAAGTACTATATCACTCCGAATATAATTCAATATTGGGTTGGTGTCATTCAATTCTTGGGCCAAATCATACTAAGAAAATCAATAAAAAAAAATTGTTATGTGGAATGACTGAAGGTAGTATTAACTCATCATTTGCACTTTACTTGCATGTCGCTGACCGAAAATGACATCAATAAATTTCTTTTTGAGCAATTAAACAAGTGGTGTGAGGCAAGTCGAGCACGGAACAAAGCAATCAACTATTAATACGAAAGAATATATGTAACACTCTGGGTTCCGAGATCGTACAATATGGTTAGCTTCTTCAAAGCTCCTATTTTGGGAGACAAAGTGCCGGAAAATCCCATATCAGCTAATGACCTGCAAACCACCACAGTGAAAAATTTGTGACTACATCATGTTTAATTTGCCCACATAAATGATATTCAAGAACATCCTCAAGGAAGAGGTCACTTACACACTGATGACATTGTTACTAGCATCACATTTAATTTTTGACCATGTGCATGGATTAACTGAAGTTGTATACCAATCGCTAAGCTGACTACCTGATGCCTTCAATGATTCCTTCAATGCAGTCAATGCTTCTCCTAATAGAAAGATGATTCAAAAGAATTTTGAAGATACATCCTATCCTAAATATCCTAAAACTGATACGAGTATATTGCAATTTGCAAATTAAATGCAATGCCATTCGGAGAAAGAGGGAGTTAATAGTTACAGAAATTGCACTATATAGTAAAACAAAACAAAAAACATATTTCATCTGAAGGCAGCTATGTTTTACTCAGGAAATCTCTCAATTAATTATTCACTAGAAACCAGAGCATACCTTGACCATCTGGGGAAACCAAAGAGCAAAAGAATGACAATATTAGTGCTCCACAGAATATCCTCATTTCCATTTCTAAGGAAACTCCTTTCTTTCTTTCCAAACTCATTTAATAGATAACGGATGCAACTGGTATTTAGCCCTTTTTGTTTTTCTTAACTTAAAAATTTCGCACATCGACTTCTTAAAAACTCTGCTACTAACTTTTATAGACCCCTGAAGTCGTATGTACACTTTTGCAACTTTTGACTTTGTAAGTTAAATCAATTCTGAAGAGGACATATACATTTCCATTGAATTATTAAAGAGATAAAAGCATGTTTCGATTTCTTTCCTACAATGGGTGGTTGACTTCCTGTATACTCACTGGCGGATCTTGGGATCAAACTCATCAAAGTTGAGTATTCAAAATTAATTTTTCATTAGTTAGGCAGCCAGTCCTGGTGTTTCAAAAATGCATGTCACATGACCCTGTTTTACTACCTTTTTTCTGTTTGGAAACGAGATGGCTTAGTCTATTGCTTATTGAGCATGATTATGATTTGGCAGTGTGACTTTGTTTCTTATGGTAGGCTATTGTATATGAAATGATGTTCACATATGTACCACCTGAGCATTCGGAAGGCCAATGTGGTAATTGATTGTATAGTGAGCAAGTAGCTTGTGAGTTGTGATGGTGGGAATGCTTCTTGTATTATGAGCTATGAAATGTATTGTCCTTATGCCATTTTTTCAAAAAACTTGTGTTACAGTTATGTTGTTGAGGGGAATAAAATGTCAGTTCAAAACTCAACCAACGTGGGTGCCTGTCATGAGGAACACTGTAAGTGGCCAACAATGAGGTCATTAAATACGTTGCAGCATAATAAGCTCAGTTAAAGACTGATGTGCAAATTAATAGCCCCATAATGTCCAGATGGGTGAGCTGGTCAACTTTTCAGATAACAAGATATGGTTTTAAACCAGGTAAGCTGTAGACAGTTTAGAAGAGGGATGAAAGCACTTTGAAAGTTCAAATGGGTTTGGATTTAAGAAGTATTCCAACAGAGCTACCAGGCAAGGTCAGTTTACTAGGGGCTCAGTCAGCCAATGTTTCAGTTAGTAGATTTTCAATATCGTTAGTCATTCCATTAACTCAGTCAACGATTTCTTACAACACAATCAACAAGTTTTTAAATTTATTATGGGGGTGTTTGGAACCGCTTATGCTTCTGCTTCTTTTCTAAAAGAAGAAACAGAATCAATTTTTCAAAAGCTAATCTCCCCAAACACTTCGATATGAAGCAGATCCAAACACCCCATATATCCTATGAAAAGATTCAATTACACAATGCTGCGGGGGAGAGTATTGCAATGATGAACAAGTCCTAACAACATGTAAATGATATCTTGTGACAAAGCAGATCCAAATGTTTCTATGCAGTGAAAATCAGTTCGATTCATTTGAAAAATCAGCTTCTCGGAGCGTACATTTCCCTACTAGCTTGATTGATCCTCCACCTTTGAAACTACCAGCTGAATCACGAAAAAGCCAGGCCAAAACCCAGCATTCTCCTTTATTTGCAGCATTACTATTGAATTTGAAGCAGCCGGATATAGAAGATGTCCACCCAGACCCAATTGAATTTGAGCATTCTCCATTATCATCCCCCTTTTTAGACTGCTTCCGTTCCAAACAGTAGCCTTTAACTCTCCCTAATCCTCTCCTTAATAGCACTACAACACCTAAAAACAAGTTCCCGCTCACTGGAACTTTTCATCGCATCCGTTCGATTCAATAAGTTAAATCGACGACTTCTGCGCCTCCTATTCTCTCTGAACCCTTTCCTTCTTTTCTTCTTTCCTTTCCTTCGTTCTTATTCCCTTAATAATTCTATCATTGACAGAATATTAGCAAACACCTTCCTCATTTGGTGTTATCGGACCAAAAATTGCTCCAAAAAAGGAGATACTTATCTCCTCAAATTTGCCTGAAGTCATCCGCCTGGAAATAATCCGATAAAGGAGATGGTTATTCATCTAGCCGAAATCATGTACCTAGAGTCATCTTCCTCGAGAGATCATCTGAAAAGAAATCATCCGAAAAAGGTGACGTTGCTTCCTAAGTTCTTCTGCCGAAAGATTCAAACCGAGTTTGAGGTAAACTATTCTTCCTAATCATATAATCCATCTTTTATTTTAAACTGATTTCCAATTTGTTAGTTTTTTATTATTTAAAAACGTTGTTACAACATCGTAAGGAAGGTGTTTGCTTATATTCCTCAATCAATTATCTTTTTCTACAATTATACGGAGTATTTCACATCCTTGATATTACATATTGACATTAGGTAATATAATTGGTGTTTCATACTTTTTCTTTGGTGAAATTATTAGGTAAAGGTAATATGAAGTTATTTTGCAAAACCCAGACAATTACTCCTCTGGTGAATCTGCAATTAACGCCCCCCCAAGGTCTATTTTTCTTCTTTCTTCCATTATTCATATTTCTTTTATGTGTCAGTGACACCATTTTCAGTTTTAGTTTTCTGTAACTGGTTAATTGACTATTCCTAATTCACTTTAACATAACTATTCTTTAGTGAGTAATCTAACCATGTTTGTTTCAGATTTAATGTATAGTTCCTTTTGTTGTGTCTACCATCTACAATATCATTTTGCTTCATTTAAATTAGACTTTAGAATGGACTACTTTGACTTGCTTATGTTTTTCATTTTCTTAGAAACACAAAGTTGTGACTACCTTTATTTAGACAAACTAAATTGGCTTTATATATGTAATATTAAAGTTTATTTTTTCAGTGTGCCCTTAGCTTTTCACCGGGCAATTAACTGTTCATCCACATCAGTGTTTCATTTTTTGTTCTTCTTGCATAATCTTCTCATGCTTTCCATGCATCCATCTTTATTCTTTGGTTCTTAATTTCATTCATCATAACCTATGCTTTGTTATATCCATTCTTTCATTTTTCCGATTTGATACATTTGAAATATCTCAGACTAATATTTAGTGATATGAGGGACTCAAAACATTGTACTAACTTAGATTATAGAATTAATTGATTCAATCTTGACAATTTATTGATTTCAACTCAATCTAGGTGTAGGCATTCTAACGAGAGATATACACTTCTCGGGGATTGAGATTAGTCGGGAAACTTTGTGTTCTCTTTGCGGGTAAATATATACTTCTTAAGCAAATCAGTCTTATTCCTTCTAATATCATGCCCAAAAGCCTAGAGTTATTTTCTAGAGGAAGCCAGGACATTCCAATTTTAAACTAAATGTGGCTGTGGTGCAGAGGGGATGCAGATTCTGGGAGTCCTATTACTACGAGATCGCAATGGCTCATTTGGTGGTGCCGCTACCTTTCCGTCAATGTAGCCATTGAACATTTGAATATCAATAAAGAACTCTTTGCTATATAGGAAGGAATAAAGTGGTGCTACCAACACGGTTTTCAAAGGGTTGAAATTTATATTTTTGACATTGCTAATATAAACCATGCTTTACTCACAACTTCAGTCCAGAAATGAAGGAGATAATAGCTAAAGCACAATATATTGCATTCCAAGCAAATAGGATGATCATCTTTTTAGATCAAACGGTCCCATGCACTCTCATATTAACATGCTATGAAGCTGCAAGTTAGCACACGAAGTCCTAGGGGGTATGATGTAAGAGGCGGCTAATACTCCATATGTTTTTTTAGTTTCCAAGTGTTTTCTCTCTCTAACATTAGAATATTGATGAGCAGCAGTTTATTGATAAAAGTGAGTCGCTTCTACGGCGCATCTCTAGAAAAGAAAATAGCTAGGCTACTTCCATGGTGTGTACTTGCTCTCTGGTAGAGGTAAATTTATACTCTTATTTGTATTTCTATTTCCTTATATTGTATGCGGGCAGCGGGAAATAATTATTGCCTGAAGTTTTGCATACACTCTGTATATTTTTACTGATTGAAATGTTTTCACATTTAGAACTTTTTGATAGTATATTCATGAGCTGTATGCATATTCTAAGTACTTTTTAAATGCTTGGAATTTATAATTGGCTGTGGATGAAATATCACTATCTTTTGATTTTAAGTGACACTTTAAATGTCTTCTTTTGTAGGGACTTCATCATGCAAAAGTTAGAAAGTATAGATATGTACGTGAAAAGTATCACTTACCTTATCTTAGTTACTATTTGTTCATGTTATTATAGTAAATATGTAGTATATAATATGCCTAATTCATTTTTGTATAGCTCTAAAAATTAAATTTTTGTACTCATTTTTCTCTTAATAATTCTATCATTGGCAGAAGAGTGAGTTTAATATGTAGCTTTCTTCTTCTTGGACCCAACAGTAGAAAAAAGTTAAAATAATTAAATGTGTCATTCACATGTTTTTACATATCCAAATTTTGCACGTCTGATTGACAACCGTAAGTGATTTGGGCATTTATTTTGTTACAGATACTGGAGTTGTATGAATTTGGCCATCAACAGATACCTATATCAACTATATACCAAAAGTTAATTAATTAAGTTCTTATTTCTTATAAGGAATTTATTGACTTATTTACTTACATGTTATTAGAAGAATACTTCACATGGAGTTCCTGTGATTTACCCCTTTGATATATTTTTTTCAGATTAGAAATATAAAAAAGGTTCCTAATCAGTCCTACTTACCATGCTTAAGTTCAATATTTGTTTTGCCGACCATAGTTTGGTTTCCCCCTCTTTGATCAATTCATTTTGTCAGCGATTCAAACCTACATACATATATGTGCTCAAATTTCATTTTACTTTGTCCATCTTTTTGGTTTTATATGTATTCGAGCAACATCACTTGCTCATTACATTACTTGTGAATGAATAGTGTACTGCTATAAGGGACTAAAGTTGGTTTCCCTATTTTCAAGCATGGAAATGCAGTCCTATCACCTATGGATCAGGTCTTTAACATGCTTGCTTAACTAAAAAGGTTGCACAATTTTATTGCCAATTAAGTTTGTTTGCTATGTTACCTTTATTAAAAATATATCATGAAAAGATTAAAATAGATTTTTCCTTACCAGTTAGACGTCCCTATATGTAAAATAGATCATGCATTCCTTAAATTTGAGTTAGGTTTAAAAAGTCTTTATATTTTTCTCCAAGAAAAAGAATGTCTAAATTCCAACCAGTTTTGTGAACAAATGCGATTTGTCCACTCTTACTCCAACTTATTGATTTCTTTAAATCTATCATATTAGTGACTTAAATGTGGAGTAAATAACAAATACTCCAGGTATCACATTAGTTCAATACTTCAATGCTGTTTGCCTGTTTTTCTATTTATCTACCCTTTCATGGGTTGACTTAAATCATGTATATGTAGAAATTTCTATATTATTAAAAAAGAAATCCCAACTCCTTGATTGTCATGGACTATTTGAGAAGCCATCAACTTGGATAATATTGTTCCAAAATTCTACATTCTAGGATAATTGAAGGAGACCCGTTGAATCGTTGATCATTACTTCCCAAATATTTTAGCACTTTAATCGAGTACAATTGTACAAGCTTATAATGTGCGAATGTGATACTACGTATATGTATGTGTAGGGTCCGACTTTAACAGAAGTGGCGTATCCTGCATTATTTAATTCAGGAAGTGCATGTTTTAGTATAAAGATCTTATTACTCACTCCGTCCCATTTTACCTGTGTTATTTTCTTTTTTAGGTTGTGCCAAAATAAGTGTCACATTTCTCCTTTTGGAAAGAAATATGTGGTCCACAATATTTTACATTATTATATTCAAATCTCAATCACAACTTTTATCTTTTTAATCACTTTATTAATAATTGTGTTAAAGTCAAATGAGATACATAAAATGGGATGAATGCAATACAATTTAATGCATTTTCGGCATATTTGGACTCATATAATTTGGGTGCCTTTGGTGACGTGTGTCAAACATTAACTTAGAAGTTCTGATGTCCAATTTAAATTGGGATATTCTGATGTGTCAAATCATAATGAAAAGTCGAGTGTTGTTGGTGATTAAACTTTGAGCTCATATTATTAAGGTGCAACTGATATAATCTTTCATTAAAAATTTTTTTTTGCACAACGAAATCTTAAGTATTATTAATGTAGTCATGGCTTAAAGCCTGCATAATACAAGTAGGAGGAGTCGAGAGCCACACATGGCTGTCAGACAAAGAAACGGCTGCTCGAGCAAGAGTGTGAGCAACACGATTCGCAGACCGCCGTATAAAAGCAAAAGAAATGCTATTAAAATCTTTCATTAAATCTCTAACATCTTCCACTATCAAGCCAAACTGAGCAACACCACCTCCGTTATAAATAGCAGAGACAACTTGAGAAGCATCAGACTCGATGTCCACATAATCCCAACGGTTCTCCTTCAGCCAGCTCAACGCCTCACGGACCCCTAAAATTTCGGCTTCTTTGGGTGAAATATTCCCTTCCCAAGGCTTAGCACCAGCAGCTACAAACTGACCCGCTGCATCCCTCACCACCCACGCTAGTCCCCGCTTTCCATCCATCCCGGTAGCCGCATCAACGTTGACCTTCAATCGGCCCTCCACGGGTTTTTTCCATACCTCCGCAGCCCTCCTTTCAGTCCGGTTCAAGCACTCCCTGCCTTGTTCTTGCGCTGCACGCCACCCAAATAGAACAGATCTCGCTACAGCAATGATTTGATCAACTCCACAAGCTTCAGCATGCCAAACCATCCTATTCCGTCCCTGCCATAAACTCCAACAATACATCACAAATTCACAGCATTGGTCCTCATTTTTAGAAGAGAAAAATCTCTCTGCCCACTCCAAAAAACTACCCCCAGTTACATTATTTTCACCCCAGCCCACTTTCCTCCATAATTCAATTGCCATGTTACATGAAACAAATAGATGTGTACAAGATTCTAGCTGCCCACACCCAAAAACACACTGATTTGGCACATCAACCCTCCGCTCCCTAAGTTTGTCCGCTGTTGGAATATTGCCAGTACATAATTGCCAAAAAAAGATTTTGACCTTGGGAGGAATATAGAAGTTCCAAACTCTGGTCCATCCCAACCAGCCCCCGGGCTCAAATTCACCCACCAAATATCTATAGCAACTCTTAACAGAAAAGCATCCGCTAGACTCCCAGGCCCAAACAACCCGATCTGGAGTCGTTCTTTTACTAAGAGGAATGCACTTAACTAAGTTTCTGTCCCGAGGATCAAACAGATCCTGCAGCAAGTCACTATCCCAACGACGATCTCCTAAACAAAACAAACCATTAACATAGGCCTGCTCCAACCCAATCACTGGGGCAGAATGTATTGTCGGCTCCACCGGGTGAGGAAGCCAAGGATCTCCCCAAATACGGACTGATCTGCCATCCCCAATACACCACCGATATCCTGCCGCAATAATCGGTCTTGCTTCCCAAATGCTTCTCCAAATAAACGACGGGTTACTACCAAGTTCTGAATCAATAAAGGAAGTGCGAGGGTAATACCTTGCCTTGAATATTCGTGCAACTAAAGAAGAAGGGTCTGAAAATAACCTCCAAGCTTGTCTACTCAACATAGCAAGATTAAATTCTCTTAGTTTACGGAAACCTAGCCCTCCTTTAGCTTTTGGGCAGCACAGCTTATTCCAATCTGTCCATCTAATCCCCTTTTTAGCATTGCCATTCCACCAAAACCCGTTCATCAATCTCTCTATTTCTGAGCACAGCTCCTTCGGTAGTAGAAAGACGTTCATGGCATAACTTGGTAAAGCTTGAATGACAGTTTTAAGCAACACTTCCCGCCCTGCCCTAGATAAAAATCTGCCGTTCCAATCTTGAATGCGCCGAACTACCCTATCCCGTATAAAGGAAAGGATATCTTTTTTCCCCCGACCTACAAGAGCAGGTAGGCCAAGGTAGATGCCTCCTTGACTAGCTGGGCTGACAGAGAGCATCTCTTGTAGACCTTGACGAACACCAGCACTAGTATTTGAGCTGAAATTAATAGTAGATTTCGAATAATTAATTATTTGGCCAGAAACCAATGCATAATCTTCCAACACTGTTTTCACAGCCGTCCCCTCTTCATGTGTGGCTCGAAAGAACAAGAAACTATCGTCGGCAAAGAGAAGATGGGACACCCTCGGTGCTCCTCTTGCAGCCGCAATTCCATGGATTTTCCCCTGCACTTCCAGTCGCTTCAGCATGCAACTCAATCCTTCTGCAACAAGGATAAAGAGATATGGAGATAGAGGATCACCTTGTCTCAAACCCCGTCGAGGAATGATCGGGCCAATCTCCTCTCCATCAAAAGGAATAGAATATGTAACAGTCCGCACACATTCCATGATCAATGCTATCCACCTTTCATGAAAACCAAACAGTCCCAACATCCGTTCAAGAAAAAACCACTCCACCCGGTCATAGGCTTTACTCATATCAAGCTTGAGAGCCGCATACCCCACTTCCCCTTGTCTCTTCCTTTTCATATAATGGTGGGTCTCGAAGGCAATCATTATGGTGTCCACAATAGATCGACGTGGAATAAACGCACTTTGGTTCTCTGATATTAAACCATCCAGGAGAGGCTTTAATCTGTTAGCCAACACCTTGGAGAAAATCTTATATATGACATTGCAAAGGGCTATTGGTCTCCAATCCGTCATAGATTCCGGTTTATCTTTTTTTGGAATCAGTACAAGGTGAGTATGATTTAATTTCTCCGGTAGCTCTCCGGTCTCAAAAGCCTTTTGACAAAACTTCACGACATCTTGGCCCACGGTACCCCAAAAATGCTGATAAAACCCAGGACTAAAACCATCCGGGCCTGGAGATTTACTTGGGTGCATAGAGAATAAGGCATTTCTTACTTCATCAGGAGAGATTGGACGAAGAAGCTGCTGATTTTTGTTCACGTCCAACTTCAGGGCCACCTCTAGTGAAGTATAATTCGTGTTAACATGTGTAGAGTCAAAGATCTTGGAAAAATAATCACCAATAATCTCCCCCACTTCATCTCGTTTTGTCACCCATCGATTCTCATCATTCCGAAGCCCCACAATTTTATTACTCCTCCGTCTCTGCTTCACCAAATTATGGAAATATTTGGAATTCACATCACCCCCTTTATACCAAAAGGCTTTGGCACGCTGGCTCCAAAAGATGTTCTGCTTCTCAAGAAGAATTAGGTAAGATTCTTTTACCTTACGAAATTCGTCAAGGCTCCTCCTATCATATCTACTGCGAAGAGACTGTAACCGCCTGCTGCAATATTCAATTCTCCTTTTAAATCCAAAATCTCTGTTCCCACCCCATCGCCCCACCTCCAGTGAGCAATACTCAATCTGCTTCATTAACCCCGACCCTCTGCTAATTGCCCAAGCTCTCTCAATAACCTCCCTGCATTCTTCATCCTGGAGCCACATGTGTTCAAACTTAAAGCTCCTCCTCCGATTTTTCCGATCTGTTGGCAGAAGTGAAACATAGAGCGGGAGATGATCACTCGGAGCCCCCTCAAGAGATACAGCTCGAGCCCTCTCAAATAAATCAAGCCAACTTCCAGAAACCAGAATCCGGTCAAGCTTCTCCTCAACCCACCCTGGTGTTCCCCTCCAACGCTCCCAGGTAAACTGATACCCGTCAAACGGGAGATTGGTTAAACCACTAGCCCAAACAGTCTCCCTAAATCCCCGAATAAGCCATTTCGGGTGAGGGACAGACCCTCGCTTCTCGGCTGCGCATAAAATGTCATTAAAATCTCCAATAACAAACCAAGGCAACGTCGATCTTGAGCTCAAATTTCTGAGGATACCCCAAGATTCCTTCCTTCTCTCCCTCTCCGGACACCCATAGAAGCCAGTAAGACGCCAAACTTGAGCACCAAATGCCAGACTAACATGAGCATCAATAAAATGAGGTGACGAGTCAACAACATCCACCTGTACTTGATCACCCCATATTAAAGCTAACCCCCCCGGTGCCCAATACATTCAACCACATAACAGTGAGCATAACCAATTATCCTAGTAATACGCTCAATATGATCTTTTTTAGAGAAAGTCTCCATGAGAAAAATAATCGATGGCCTCTTCAAGTGGACCAATTCCACCAGAGCTTGAACTGTCGATCGGTTGCCAAGCCCTCGACAGTTCCAGCTTAAACAACTCATGATGATCGGCGGGCCTGCACCACAGGACCCGCCGTTTCCCCGTTTTTTGACCCGCTGTTAATCAAAATCAGAGACGTCTGACTTACTTCCCCATCTCCCATCTTTCTCTTCTTGGAGCCGAGATCATCAGTAGTACAATACTCTCCCTTTGCATCAAAGACAGGCTCAGTCGCCCTCCCACTAGAACCCCTCTTCGCCTCCTCCCTGGCTATATTTCCTTGCACTCCTCCCTCTGCAACCAGCCATCTACTACCCCCTCCCATTTCCTTGCGACTGCCAGCTTTCAGCCAAGTACCATATGGTTTCACCGAGCCTTCCTGATAACCTTCAAACCGCTTTTCACAGAATTTATCAACATGTCCCATCCTACCACACAAGAAGCAGAATAAGGGAAGTCTTTCATATTTGAATTCCGCCCAAGCCCACTCTTCACCATCACGTAACTTCATTCGACGTTTCAGAGGTTTCTGCACATCAAGGCCAACACGAACCCGAAGAAAAGCCCTGCAACCCCCTTTGAAATTACCACTGTCCACTTTGATGAAAGATCCCAATGCCTTCCCCACCAGTTCGGAAACCCTCTCAGTCATGAGACGTAAGGGTAGTCCATGTATTTGAACCCAAAATTCAGCATGGGTAAGTGGTACTGTTTTTTGATTATCGGACGAGCTAAGTCTGCTCAGGATCAATAGGTGTCGTTCGTACGACCAAGGGCCATCAAGCAAAACACGCTCTAGATCAACCTTATGATAAAACTGGAATAAGAAACGCAGATCACCCAAATCTCGAATTGAAATACCTCTTCCAGGTCTCCACATCTCAGCCATGGCATCTCGAAAGAATGAGAACTTAACAGGTTTGTCATTCAGCAGTCGTCCTACCACAACCAGTTCTGGTGACAAAGTATGTACGTTCAATTGCGGCACACCTCCAACATCCAGCTCGTCTTCCTCCTCTTCTTCCAGATTCAACCTCTCGCAAAGGTCCTCTATCAATGAAGTATCAGTAGCCATGATTGGGAAGCAAAGATTCACTACGACACAGAAACGGAGACAGAACCCTAGAAAAACCCTAGGGGAGAAAACCGTATCTAGTTAAGAGTTAAGACTGTACTCACAACCAGAAGAGTTAAAGACTGAGTATCTTTCGTTAAAAATTATTACTTTGAAAATTTGTTTGACGCCTTTAGACTTTAGGCACAACAAGTTAATCCTTCAATGGAGTCAACTTTCATTGTGGTTAGCCATTTATTGACTATTGATAATAGTGGGGAATGTTAGTTGGAAATTTTTCATATCTTCTCACACTGCTACATATGTTATTACGCAAATGGTTATTGTTCACAACTATCTTAATACAAACATGACAATTCACATGAAGAACTGATCATAGATCATACTCCATCTGTCCCAATTTGTTTTGCAAAGTCAATATTTTTTGGTCAATCAAAATTAAAAGTTAATGCTCCTTATTGATAATTAATTCAATTTTAATAAATTAAATTTACATATTCTGAAACTACATTAAGCGAATAAAATGAAACTGTTTGACAAAAAAAAGTCAAATTTGCAAATCAATTCGAGACGGAGGTATTATATGTAATTGCTAATAAAGTTAACACTTAATATGAAGCTTTATTTAGTACATACATAAGCATAGTTAGGGGCAGCCTATATTCCGGTCCACCCCAAATTTTAATTTTATTATTAGGAAAAAATTATTTACAAAAAGTCCTTTTTTTGTACCACCCCACCCCAATATACCCCCAATGGCCCAATATACTGCCCCCCCCCCCCCCCCCCCCCCCCCCGCCGCCGCGGCCTACGTCATTGAGTACATATTAATAATATGATAACAATATAAGATCTTTTTACGTTTATACTGGATTAATGGCATAATATTCTCTTTATTAATAAATTATAGCTTTTAATTTATGTGAGATTAAAATGTTATTAAGTAATAACATTGCAAGCTAATTAAATAATAAGATATACTGACAATCTTTTATACCGGAAGATATATCATAACTCTTCAAATAGTAAATCTCTATTTACCGCTTTAGTAATGACTTATAATTATCATATAAAACTTAATATATTTAATTTCGTGATTTGTTTCTTTACAATTTCATTAATCAAACATCCTCAATTTGAATAGTTCTAATTTTATGTAATATATATGACTCATGTGATTGACTTCCTTCCATTTTGCTCTTTTCAATTATGGCATTATTATACATGTATATAATGCAATCCCGGGTGTAGTGACTAGTATAGATTTAAAACTAGGAAAAGATTCTGCTACACCCTTTCATTTATGGCCAGTCATTAGGAAAACAAGTCAAAGTGGATTCTGTGCCTAAAGATAAAAATTTACATAAAATGGTGTTATACATAAACAGCCACTTGCTTTTTATTGTTTAAACCCCATTTTTGAAAGGAAAAATTGGAATTAATAATCCCAACTATACCCGATCCGCTTTTAATAATCCCAATTATTGATTATTATTAGGTGGTCTAAACTAAACCCTGCCTTTTCCCCTAATGGTCCCCGTGACTGGTTACCGGCTAACAACGTAAAAAAAAAATTCCAAACGCAGAAGTCATTCTCAGGCCACTCGATGACACACATACGAAGTCTCATCTGATGAAATTGAGTGATATCTTATCTTCTTCCCTCCACTTTGTACGCCACTTCTGAGGAAAAATTCAAGAGCGTGGTTCAAGTTTCTTAGAGCTTGATTGCGACCGTATAGCAGGTACAGACTACCTACAAAGCTTTTTATTTTTATACCACGTACAGACTACCTCCAATTAGGGTTACTTTTTTTAATTTAAGGTCTAGTATAATGTGTATGGTTCTAAGATTTGTGGTTGTATTTGAATCAGGAAGAAATGGCTAATTGTACTGCTGTGACACTTAACATGTGGCATGGAGGAACGTTTAGGAAGAATGATACAGGACAACTACAATATGTTGGGGGACAACGCAGGTGCTTTGATGTTGATGCCGATGAGCTATGCTGGTTTTGGTTAGAGGAGTTAGCTGGAAAATGTGGTAAGTATTCCAGTATAGATGACATCTATTATTTGATTCCGGGTGAAACCTTTGAGAAAGGATTGAAAAGGGTAAAATTTGATGCTGAAGTAAGGGAAATGTACAAAGTAGTAATGACATTTAGAACCATTGATTGCTACATAAGGCATGGATTAAGCACTCCCGAAATTGTGTATCTACTGGAAGGAACTGGGGAAAATGGAGAGAGTTCGGTGGGTTTACAAGCTTCAAAAGCCGCAGGAGGTTCTGCCCCAAGTCAAGGTGTGAGCACACCTCACACAAACAGTTCAGAAGTTCCAAGTGCTTTTTATGAGTTTTGTGAGGAAGAATTAGAACATCCAGATGAAGATGTGGTAGAGGATGAATCACATGAGCATGTGGAAGCAGAATTCAATGACCAAGATGATGACCATAACACTGATGTGCTAGCTGAGGATTTGGAGGTCCCTCTAGTTGGGTCTGATAATGATACTAGTGATGAAGAGTTCATAGAGTCAAGAAGAAAAGTTAGTGGATGGAATTCCATGATCCTGGAAATAGCAAAAAAGCTTCAAAAAGAAGCAGGTGAGGGTCTTCTAAGTCATAAGACACCGTCAGAAAAACAGTCCGCAGAAGAGCAGGATCTGGGGGACCAAGAGTGTTTTAGTGATTATGAAGACTCCGAAAATGACTTACTCACACCATCTGAGAGTGAAAATGATGGTACACTGTCCTCAAAGAAAAAAGCTAGAGCAGGAGCTCTTGTGGATGCACATACTGACTTCAAGAAACTTAAGTGGGAGGTCGGTATGAGATTTGAAAATAGGGACAACTTTAAAGATGCAGTGGCCAAGTTTGCAATTGCTCAAGGTAGGAACTTGAAAATAAATGTGAGTTCTAAGAATAGGCAACAAAGGATAGGGGCGAAATGCGTGGAAGAGTGTCCTTTTCGGTTGTATGCTAGCTGGGATAGCAGGAGGGCATGTTTTGTAGTCAAGACTGTGGAGGGGAGTCATACCTGCAATAGAAATATGAAGAAAAATAGACAACTAAAGGCATCATGGGCGGCCGTCCAATTGTTGGAAGTATTCAAGTCCAGACCTCACTGGCCTGCACAAGAAATCACAGAAACCATAAGAAGAGCTTACAAAGTACTTGTTTCGAGAGACTTTGCTTACAAAGTTAAACATCATGCACATATGAAGCTTCATGGCAGTATGAAGGAGCATTATAACAAGGTAGGAAGGTACCTAGAAGCTCTAATCCAAGCAAATCCTCAAAGCCACTTTAAGTTGCTCACAGATCCATCAACAAAGGTATTTCCCCCCACATTTCAGAGATTTTTTGTTTGTTTCAGTGGTCTGAAAGAAGGGTGGTTGAGTGGAGGTAGGAAGGTTTTATGTGTGGATGGTTGCTTCATTAAGACCTTCTTAGGGGGGATGTTACTATCTGCAGTAGGGAGAGATTCCAATGATCAGATGTTTCCATTGGCGTGGGCAGTTGTTGAAGGTGAAAATAATTCTAGTTGGGAATGGTTTCTGTGTGAATTAAAAAAGGCATTAGGTGATTCAGGAGGAGCAGACTACACATTCATTTCTGATGAGCACCAGGTAATAATTATTTCCATTTTAACTTCAGCATGAATATTTAAAATAATTTATTAATGCAGTTTGTCCTTTCTTGATTGTTACAGTCCATTTTGCGTGGAGTTTCTTGTGTGTTTCCTCTTGCAGAGCACAGACATTGTGCGAGACATGTGTTTGCCAATTGGCACAAAACACATAAAGGTGATGAATTAAAGATGATATTCTGGAAAGCGGCAAAGGCGTATAATGAACCTGATTTTGTGGAGGCATTGGATGAAATGGGTAAAGTCAGTCCGGCTGCGGTTACTGCTTTTAAAGCATATAATCCCAGATGTTTTTGTAGAGCCTACATTAGAACAACCACAAAATGTGATGTCATAGTAAGTAACATGGCTGAAACTTTTAATGGATACATTATAAATGCTAGAGCTAAGCATATAATATTTATGCTAGAAGATATTAGGGGTGCTTTGATGCAAAGAATGGTTGTTAAGCGGCAGACTATGGAAAAAAATGGATGTTTCTTATGTCCAAGAATCCAGGCAAGATTAGAAAAATCAAAAGATGAGGCAGCTAATTGTACCCCACTACCCTCTAGTCAAGTGTTGTTTCAGGTGTGTCATAGGCTAGATACTTTGACAGTCAATCTGGAGACTAAGAGTTGCACTTGCAGAAAGTGGGACCTTAGCGGCGTTCCATGTTGTCATGCTGTTGCATGTATGTTCTTCATGAATGTAGCACCTGAGGTTTTTGTTGATGAATGTTACACTAGACAAGCTTACTTGAAAATGTATTCGGGTAGCATAGCCCCTTTAAGTGGTGAAAGACACTGGCCTCCTATAAATATGCCCTTAGATCCTCCACCAATTAAGATTGGTCCCGGTAGGCCTAGGAGAAATAGAATAAAGGCACCACACGAAAATCCCAAAAAACCGGGTAAGCTGACAAAGCATGGAGTTGAGATGACTTGTAGTGTGTGCAAGTCAAAGACACATAACAAGAGAAAGTGTCCGGACAAAAATAAGTCAACCGAACTATAATCTGTCCCCAAAAAAAGTAGGGGAAGGCCAAGAAAGGTGACCCAGCCTGAAGGGCACATAGAACATGATACCACAACAGCCCAACCATCTAGAATTGGTAGAGGAGGAAGGGTGATTCATGGAAGAGGAGCTGGAGTTGGAAGGGGAGGTCAAGGAAGAGGACGCAGCACACGAGGAAGAGGCAAAGGGCAAGTACCTGTTGGATTTGGAGTAGTCATTGATGGACAAGGAAATGCATGGACTAATGTAACTTACTGTAATTATATCTTATTCATTTTACTATATCAACTAAGTACTACTAACACCTAATATCTTTGTAGGATAGTATGTGATTGATACATGTGTGTTGATTTTACAGAGTCCTGGGCAGCAAGGTGGACCGGTGAATATATCACAGACAACTACCTATTCGGCTGCAGCTCCGACAGCTCATTCAGTGTGATTTGGAAGACTAATATTTTATTTCTTTAGTTGAGTGTTGTTTGTCAAGTACTCTGGTTTGTTAAGTGTTGAGTGTTGTTGTCAAGTACTCTGGTTTGTTAAGTGTTGAGTGTTGTTGTCAAGTACTCTGGTTTGTTAAGTGTTGAGTGTTGTGTCTTAAGTACTCTGGTTTGTTAGGTGTTGTTTGTTCTGGTTATTATGTAATTCTGAAGCACTTGGATCACCATTGCTATGCTGCTAATCTAAATGGAATTATGGAGTACCTATGTTTGAGCTTTCTGAACATAATGTTATGTTTTTGAGTGTTATCTGTATGAAATAATGTTCTATTTTTGAACATTATGGTGAAAAAAATGTTGTGTTTAAATAACAAGTTTGGTTATTGTGTCATTGGTTCTATCAAGGATAAATCCACAACTGGATTACTGGTTCTGCAATGATTTGAGGAATTGAACATATATAAGTCAAAACTTAATTGTTTTGAGTTTTTTTTATACCTCTTCATCAAAGAAAGAGGAATGCATAATCTGATGATTGATTTGGCATGGAGTCACCTGCCCAGGTTTATAAAATATGAAGTTAATTGGGCATACTGCTTTCCAAAAATTCATGTCACAACACCTGAACTAATATCTTTAAAGAGATCTATAAGACCAGTTTTTTCAACCACCACTCACCAATAAAAAATTAATTGCAAAGTAGAACATCAAAAAGATGGTGTAGGAATATAAACAGTCCTATAAAAGAATAGGAAATACTTTTTGACAGCTGCAACTCAAGAGAATCTATGTTTTCAAATATGAATTGTTTTCAACAATAGACTATATGTTTATGCATAAATGCATTATAGGTGAGAGAGGGACACAAGCCATTCTTTCTCTTTGTGTGAGCATTCTGGTGGCCACATAATGCCTTGGAGCTGTAGAACTTTGCCCTGCAGTACTTGCATTAAAACAACTTCACAGAGCATTCTGGCTGTTAGCTTGGCTACTATACCCACTTATATGACAATATATGAGTACCATGTATTCATAACATAAAGCTAAACAACATCCATTGCAATCCCTTTAATCATAACTCATAATTATAATAACATAATTCAAGTAGTGAAACATTGTTATGTTTTACAACCAACCACCAACATAAAGGTTTAATACATGACAATCATTCATAGATGTTTTACATCCAACCACCAACATTCATAGTACAACATTGATACTAACTACTAAACAACTCAATTCACTTCTTATATAGTATAATGCTAAATACAATCCATGACACAATCAGCCAACCAAATGCAAGTTTCTCTCCCTTTGCATGCTTTGAGGCCAAAATGCGAAATTCTGATATTTTAGCTCCCATTTTTTCTTTCTTCTTTTCCAGCTTCACAATCTTCTCCTCCAAATCTTTTTTCTCCATCAAAAGCTGTTGAAGGAAAGTATCCTTATCATTTGTCTTCTCTTCCAAAAACATAGAAGGATTTTCCTCAACCCATTGAAAATAGGAACAATCATCTTTCTGTAAAAAACGAAATAACATGCTTATCATCTTTACATACGGTGTAATTATCATGTTTCAATTCAAATCTAAATTACAATTGAAATACCAACTTACCGGCCAAAGAGCGCACCCATAGAACCGCCGCCCAGTATTGGGGCCATTTTTTACGGTTCTAGGTTTCGAATACACCTTATGGAAGCATTCAACACTTCGTTCACGTGAAGCGTTGATTTTGGACCTGCTTCCCCACGAAGACGATTCACCCGTAGAAACCATTTTGAATTGACGTGCTATATGGTCTCTTCAAGCTTTTGGCTATGGCAGATTGGTTGGCCACAAAAAACTAAGAAGGTTTGACGAAGGGGATGATAGGGCAGTACAAGCGGAAGAGAAGAAGAATTTTAAAAAGGTTGTCTACGATGTCGTTTTAATTAATAAAAAATAAACACATGAGTCTCACATGACTTTAACCGGCTAAGTAGGGAAGGGTTAAGTTCCCAGCCGGTGGGGGACCATTAGGGGAAAAGGCAGGGTTTAGTTTAGACCACCTAATAATAATCAATAATTGGGATTATTAAAAGCGGACGGGGTATAATTGGGATTATTAATTCCAATTTTTCCTTTTTGAAATCTTAAATATTTGCACCCAATCCCATATGAAAAAGACTAAAATGCCCCTCATTAACATCAATTTTGATGGCCCTTCAACGTATTCCTGATTCAACCTACTCCTGATTCCTGATGGAGAAACATTTTTATCCTTTCAAAACGGGGTGCAAATATTAATGATTTAAAAAACAGAGTGCAAATAGTAATGATTTATAAAGCTCTACAGCCAAACAGGACGACCGTTTTCTACTTTTCTTTCACTGCTCTCTAACCAAATAACTTACGTTTTTTAATGATCATTCTTTTCACACCAACTAACATAGTGCCAAGGCGACCAGATAAATCTAAATAACAGATTTGGGAAAAGCTTATCTAACATAAAATTTAGGTACTGAACTAAGGGGGCCATAACAGAAGAGAAGAATGGCTTTCACATAAGACGGCCGCCGCGTGCAAGCAAGCGCCTCTCTGGTTGGTTTTCACCGTACGGTGAAGTCGTTGATCGGAGGGAAAACACGGTCCAGACAATCTCATTATGCAAAGAAACGCGGTGAGGAATCGCAGGAGAAGATCCGACTATGGAACTTTCTTCTTCTCCGCCCACCGCACCGCGATTTCTTTGTATAACGGGATGCTCCGCACCGACTCGGCCCCGGCGCTGTTATGCCTCTTCGGCTAGGGTATGTGTGATAGCTATGCGCTCGACCTTCTTCCACATACGGCCTTACTTATACTGTTGAAATTGTGTCTATGGGTTGTTGGACTAGAGTCTCTTCTTATTCCAGAACTCGATCCATCGGCCCAACATACATGTTAGGTTAAAAAGTTCACAAATTTATAAAATTGCACCGTATGTTTCTTCCTTTTTTTTAAATGTACTTTTTTAGTTTCTTACGACCGAGGACGATTTTATTTAGATTGTTTGCGGTCGAGAATAGATTTTTAAACAGATTAAGGGAGTGTTTGTAAGAAATTAAAATAAGGGGAGAATGGCCAAAAAGGACACTAAGGTTTTTAATGAATCTCGAAAAGGACACCTAGGTTTATAGTGGACCAAATAAACACAAATTTTAACTTTTAGCTTCATTTTAAACCACCCACTAACGTTGTTGTTCCAACAACCGTTAAACAGCCGTTTTCCAGCTAAAGTGAGGATTAGGAGAGCTCCAAGTTGATCTCTCGTCTTAAGAGGAGTCTCCATTGTTCATCATCATAAATTGCTTCCAACTTTGACCACCAAATCTCAATCTTCTAAAGCAACACTTTCTAATGGCTACCTGATCACTTCTTGGTCATGGTGTTGCTTCTCTTGAGCTATCCTTTTGTCCTTCAATCCTTCTTTTGTCCTTCTGAAGTCTCAGAATTATAGCCATGGCTTCCTCTGCTGCACTACCTGAAGCCATCCTTTTCTGCTGCTCGAGTTTGAGTCTCGTATAGATCCGACACTCTTAAGAAAGAAAATTGATATCCAGGAGGCATTAAGGACCCCACCATCTATGTGTTCAACACTTTTGCTAACCAAACTAGGACTGCTACATGGACTCTAAAAATAGTAGGAAGGATTTTAGAGGAAGGATTGGATCCAGATCAGGGTGCCATGTTACAGAAATCATCAAACATCATGTACCCAGGACTATACGCATGAATATTTCTTTAAAAGAGTATCAATCATCAAAACATCAATTCCTTTCAACTTTCTTTAAAAGAGTATCAATTTCCCTAGACCAGAAGCTTTATCCTGATAACCATATGATTATTTGGGATAGTTCTCGATCCCCTCAATCTCACGAAGGGTTTGAGGTGAAAAGTAGGGGAGATCAAGAATTCACTGTGAATATTAGACTGGAGTTAAATTACTCCCCTGAGAAGTATAAAGTGTCACAGGCTTTGACAGAAGTCTTGGGTGTGGAAGTAGTTACTCGTGCAAGGATTATATCTGCACTATGTTAAAGCCAGAAAGTTGCAATGCCTTGAGGATCCTGCATATTTCAACTGTGACCCATCACTTCAAAAAGTGTTTGGGGAAGGAAAGGTGAAATTGACGACGGTCAAGCTCTAATTCAGTACATTTTGCTCTCCTTCTTTCAACCTTTACCATTTTTCTCAATGTAAAAACGTCGAACACCTTATCTTCTCCATTACCATCTTCTTCTTCTTCTTCTTCGTTATTTTCATCATTTTTTGCGGCTCTCTTCCAGCATACCCATGTCTTGTAATACTCGGAAGTTCTTCCACGATTTACAAGATCCAACCTTTAAGCCATAGTTCAAATCAAAACCAACTTTTGAGCAAAACCACAACTTAATTCCCTGGGACGCTAACCAACCACGTGAAGAACCAATTCATTAGCCCCACAAGAAAAGGCACTAACAGACACAATATGTTGAAAAACAAAAACCCAAACCCAAACCTAAAATCAAAATCTGTGTTGAAATGTTATAAAAATTGAAGCAATCCATCACCAAGCCCCCAATAAAGAAGGCCATGAAGCTCTTACAAAGCTCATGAACACTACACAGAGTGAGCAGCCGACCTAGATGAACAAGAATCTGCATGTGGGTCTGGAGATTTCAACATTTCAATGGCAGAAATAGATAATTGGGTTGCAGAAATGAAGATTAGAGGGAGAGAGTAGATGAGTAAGCCGAGAAGAATGAGAAGTGGGCCGATGGGGTTGTGTGTTTAATCGTATGGGAAAGGGGCGGTGTAGCTGGGAAACGGTTGTTGGAACGGCAACGTTAGTGGTGGTTAAAAATGAAGGTAAAAGTTCAAATTTGTGTTTATTTGGTCCACTTTAAACCTGAGTGTCCTATTCGAGATTCATTAAAAACCTTAATGTCATTTTTTGCCCTTTCCCCTTAAAATAAGTGTTGTTCAGCTTTTATTTTACAAAAAGTTATAAAAGTGTTTTCAAATGAAGTTTCTACTTAAATTAATTAATCACTTAAAAGCTGGAAGCGGGTGGAAGGGTGCTTTAAACTGCTTTTCACTTTTTCTATTACACAAAAAGTAATTATTTTATCAAACACTACCAACTTTACTTTTTCAGAATCACTTTTTTTCAAACACTACCAACTTTTACTATTAAAGGTGTGTTTGCAAACACTTTTAGGGAGTGTTTGCAACATCTTAAAAAAAGTACTTCTCAGCTTTTGACTTAAAAAACACTTATTTACCAAACACTACCAATTTTTACTTTTTCTCGGCTTGCATGTGAAAAGTGATTTTCTCTTTTCTATCACACAAAAAACACTTATTTTACCAAACACTACCAACTTTTACTTTTCAAAATCACTTTTTTCTCAAACACTATCAACTTTTACTACTAATCACTTTTTCCAAATCACTCCAAAAGCTACCTTAAAAAGTGTTTTTCAACTTTTTTTCAAAAAAAAAAAAACGAAACATGGTGTTTGCAAACCCAAAAATATGATTAATTAAAGCACTTTTAAGCTAAAATTTCAAAGCTGGTTGGAGAGTGCTTCTAATAGCTTTTTGATATTTTTGTAAATAATTCAAACTTTAGGTATAATAACCCTACGATCACCAGTGCCCCGTCATCTTCTTCGTTTTGCCAGTGCACTCCTCAAGTCTGCCATGTCCATACCTTTGTTTTGCAAACCTCACTTCATCAATTCGGCCCATTACTCTTCGTTCCAAACTCTTCCCTCTCAATTACCAGTTTTAATTCCATCAATCCCTCCCTCATTAATTCTCTCAATGGGCAATGCTTCCGATTACGTTATTGCAATATTGTTTCTAGCCTTTTAATTTGTAACTCCATGTCCCACCTTCCTCTGCTGCTAACCCAATTTCATATGGAGAAAATGAATTCGATGTGGAAACAAGTCAAATTTTGTGGGTATGACAGCTTCTGCACCGAGTCACCGACTTGCAGGCACAGGGGAATGACACCTCTGGAGGAAAGAATAGGAAGAACGCATGGACCTCCAATTTTGTTTATGCAAAGCCAATTTTGTACTTTAACAAAATATTTCATCAAAAATCATTTTTTTATCAAACACTTCAATTTTTACCTTTTATTTAAAATCACTTCTGTTTACAAACACTATCTACTTCTACTACAAATCACTTTTCCAATAATCTCTTACATAAATCACTTTTAAAAAGCATAACCAAACTCAAACACTCCCTAAGTACTTTTTTCAAAATCACTTTAAAAAATCACTTTTTTGAAGTAAAAACAATCGCAAACACTCCTTAAATCTTATCAAATCAAATCAGATTTAAATAAATCAAATCAAATTAGACATTTATTATCTCCGTCCCTTAAAACTTTGTCAACTTTCCTTTTTTGGATGTCCCACTAAATTTGTCATTTTTCATTTTAAGTAAAGAATTTATGATTCCAATTAATTCTCTCTCCTCTGCACAAACCTCAACCACACAGTTTTTACTTTATTAATCTATGTGCCGGTCAAACTTGGCAAAGTTTTAAGGGACAGAGGGAATATTAGATTAGTCGGATTAGATTAGATCACACTTAAACAGACGAGACGAGTTTGGATCAAATAAAAATATGGAGAATTTGACTCTACACCCCATGTTTTAGGTGATATTTGAGTTTGCACCCTATTTTCAAAATAATTAATGTATGCACCCAATTCATTACTCCAATATCAACCAATATACACCACTTTTTATTAATTTGTGTGCTACTCTTTGTCCCATTGTTAGTGGGACGGGGGAAGTATAAAATAATTTCAATTTGCACCCCACTTCTTCACAATTTTTGGGTTGATCGGTGCATATATTAATGATTTTAAAAATATGATGTTAAGTCAAATATCACCCCAAATATGGGGTGCTAAGTCAAATTCTCCCAAAAATATGATGCAAGAGGAAAATTAACATGATATTGAGGAAAAAGAGAAAGAAGAAAATATCTTCACGCTAGATTCCTCAATATCATGTTAATTTTCCTCTTTCTCTTTTTCCTGTTTGGGGGTTTCTTTAGTCCATTTTGTCAAAATCTATGATCTAGTAATTAATATCTGTCTTGTACAAATTAAGAAGATTTACAACTACAGCTCCTGAGACAATTCTAAATCAACACCCTGAGGTTTAGGTGAGTGCATAGGACTTTTCAAAAATCCAAACTAAAAGGATTCTTGAGTTTATGTGTTATGATAATTACAGAGTATGTTTTAATTGGTATCAATTTAGGCTCTTCCTTATTCTGGTTATGATTTATGAATAGCTGGTGATTCCAGGTATTAGCAGACAAAACATATAGGAGCACATAATGGGAAGCACGAGAGTCAATCATAATGTTCCTTCACTTGTAGATTTGTGCATTCAGTTTGCTATATGTACTATTGATGAGTTGGCATGCATTGAGAAGTCAACAGAAGTAAGGAATTGTTCATTTTGCAATCTCCTTTTTGGGAAGTTCTAAACTAGGCTGTTCTAGTGGTCTGTATAACCTACTGTTGATTTTGCAAGGGGAGAGATCTTAGCTCTGTGATAGATAAGCTTTGGAAGAAGTTTTATGAGCAGGAATTTGGTGAAGAGAACACCAAACAGGTCGTTGAGAGAATGAAGCACAAAAAAATCACTTTTAAGTGGAAACACAGTTGTATGAGGTACTTCATAATTGTTAACATAAAATTGTTGCTGGTTTCTAACTTCTCAAACATGGTTCGTAAGTCATTGCATCATTTTGAGTAGCTCAAGTTGTTCACACACAAAGTTGAAGGTCGAGGAGGAAGCTGAGCAAAAATCCCTTGAAAGAATCAAATATCTTTACGAAAAACAAGAAGCTTTACGAAAAACAAGAAGCTGGTAAATGATATTTGTATCTGATGTGTAGCATGATTGTTTCTACCCAAGTCTTTCAAACTTAGGCCATCTCCAACAGTTTACACCATTTTTTGCACTAAAATGGGGTAAACATCACATCATACAGTATTTTATCTCCAACAGTTTACACCATTTTCATCACTAAAATGGAATATTCCTTTTTTATTCTTTTTACTAACATTTTACCATTATTAAATTTAATTATGCGAAAAAAAACGTAAATTATACTAGTATGATAAAATGCTCTTTAACCCATTTGTTTAACTCATTTTCGAGAGGGAGAGCAGGAATAAAAAAATTAAAAAACATAAATTATACTTTATCATAAAATGCTCTTTTACCCATACCTTTTAAAAAATATACGGAGTATCTTTTACCCATACAGTTCTCAATTAAACACTCCTTATACAGTTCGCAATTAAACAAATGATGCCTCCATAATCTTTAAGCAGACACCCCAACTAAAAAAATAAAATGGCGCAAGAAATGGTGTGCGCCATATATGGCGTAAAGCCAAACCCCCTCCCCCAATTTGGTGTAGTGGTGTGAAGTTTGGTGTCATTGTTGGAGCATTTTTTTGCCAAATACACCATTTTGGTGTTGAAGATGGTGCTTGTTGGAGATGGCCATATAACCAATGAAATATGATTCCAATTGACATGCCTGCATAGAAACAAAACTAGCAAATTATGATCTGTACAAAGATTCCACTTTCTAGCTGTATAAGAAACTTATATTTGTTGGGGTGATCGTTTTGTAACTAACAATCCGTTAGTTTATTAATCTGACAGAAGAAAGGGGGTATTTTATTATTACAAAGCCACACACTACAAATGTGAACCAATTCAAATAGTCACTTATTCAGTCTATTACACGCAAGCACATATATGTACTGAACTCAATTTGAATTACAATTAATAATCAACACTCCCCCTTAATTCAAATGGTCTTCTACTCCTGAGATTTGACTCCAAGTTCTGCTCTAAACCTTCTGAACTTGTCCACTGGCAGAGCTTTAGTAAGAATATCAGAAACCTGCTCTTCACTGCTGCAGTAAATGAGAACCAGCTTCCCCTCAGTTACTTTCTCCCTTAGCCAATGGTACTTGGGCTCAATGTGTTTGCTTCTCCCATGTGATACAGGATTTTGAGCTAGATTTATTGCTGATTTATTATCAACTAAAAGTTGAAATGCTTCCTGTGCTTCTCCAGTTATCTCACTCAACAATGAATTCAGCCATACCCCTTGACATACTGCATAAGCTGCAGCCACATATTCTACTTCACATGTGGATAGTGTAACCTTAGGCTGCTTACTTGAACTCCATGATATTACAGCTCCATTAAGCTTAAAGAGATACCCAGTTGTGCTTTTTCTTTCAACTGTATCTCCCCTCCAGTCTGAATCCGAGAACCCTATCAAACCTCTTTCTTCAGACTTTACCTCTTTAGGAAACCAAATACCACATTCTGCAGTTCCCTTTAGATACCTTAATATTCTTTTAGCTGTTGTAAGATGTGATTGCTTAGGGCTTTGCATAAACCTGCTGACAAGTCCCACACTGAAAGAAATGTCAGGCCTAGTGTTGCACACAAACCTCAAGGATCCAATGATACTTCTAAACAACTTGGCATCCACCTCCCTTTCTTGATCACCCATATCAAGCTTCAGTTTGGGTTCCATTGGACTGTTTGCATGATTGCACTTAAGCATTTCAAATTTTGTCAGCATATCATTCACATACTTCTTCTGATGTATGAATACCCCATCATTATAGAAGCAAAATTCCATCCCCAAGAAATATGCTAGCTGTCCTAGGTCTGTCATATCAAACTCATTTTTCATTTGAGTTTTGAACAGTTCAATCTGAGACATGGAGTTACTTGCTACTAACAGGTCATCAACATATAAACAGATCACAACTATATTACCGTCTGTTCTTTTATCATACACTCCATGTTCATTAACACATATCTTGAAACCCAGCTCCTGCAAATAAGCATTTATCTTCTTATTCCAAGCTCTCGGAGCTTGTTTCAAACCATATAATGCCTTTTTAAGCCTCAGAACCTTATCTTCAGCTCCTCTTACTTCAAAACCTGGAGGCTGAGTTACATACACTTCTTCCTTTAATTTTCCATTTAAGAAGGCAGATTTCACATCCAACTGAGCTACACTCCAGCTTTGATTGAATGCCAATGCTATAACCCTTCTTATTGTCTCTATTCTTGCCACAGGTACAAATACTTCAATATAATCCAGACCCTCCTTCTGTAGGAAACCCCTCACTACCAGCCTGGCTTTATACTTTGACACAGTGTTATCAGGTTTATATTTAACCTTGAATATCCACTTCACACTGATAGGCTTTTTATTTGGAGGTAAGGTAGTAAGCTCCCAAGTAGAATTTCTTTCAATGGCTTTAATTTCTTCTATCATTGCCTCCTTCCACTCCTTTTGTGAAAGAGCAGCTTCCCACTCAAGTGTTTCACATTCAGCTTGTAAAGCTAAATGCAGCAATTCACCCATCTCACTAATTTCAGCATCATCATATACTTCATACCCAGAGAGCCTAGAAGATGGTTGTCTAGTTCTTTGTGGTCTCTGAATCAATGACTCTGTGTGACCCTCATTTCTCTGTGGTCTCATTGCTTTGTGGATCAAACAATTTGTATGACCCTGCAGTGTGATACCCCACTAATATCATTGAAACTTCCCAGGGGGTCACCCATCCCAAGACTACTCCCGAGCTAGCATGCTTAACTTTGGAGTTCTTGGGTGATAAGCTCCCTTAAAAGGAGATGCACCTCTATTTGTATGAGTAGTACTATTAATCCGTTTATATTAAATCTCAAATGTTACAATCACCCCCACTTAGGATCGCAACGTCCTCGTTGCGCCCTTAAACCAATCTCAATCACACTCCAGAATCTTTTCCCCTGCTAAGTGTCCGCCCGATATCCAACGGATCGGGACACTGTCGTCGGGTTGCTCTGATACCACCTGTAACACCCCGGCCCCACCGGACCCGAGGTAGTTACTCCAGACCTCTAGTACTGTCCCCACAAACCACCACGAGTCTTTACCGCGCACTTTGTCCTCACTCATGCGCGCCCTGAGAAACTCCCCAGGGGGTCACCCATCCCAAGACTACTCCCGAGCTAGCACGCTTAACTTTGGAGTTCTGGGGTGATGAGCTCCCTTAAAAGGAGATGCACCTCTGTTTGTATGAGTAGTACTATTAATCCATTTATATTAAATCTCAAGTGTTACAATCACCCCCACTTAGGATCGCAACGTCCTCGTTGCGCCCTTAAACCAATCTCAATCACACTCCAGATCTTTTCCCCTGCTAAGTGCCCACCCGATATCCAACGGATCGGGATACTGTCGCCGGGTTTCTCTGATACCACCTGTAACACCCCGGCCCCACCGGACCCGAGGTAGTTACTCCAGACCTCTAGTACTGTCCCAACAAACCACCACGAGCCTTTACCGCGCACTTTGTCCTCACTCATGCGCGCCCTGAGAAACTTCTCAGGGGGTCACCCATCCCAAGACTACTCCCGTGCAAGCACGCTTAACTTTGGAGTTCTTGGTGATGAGCTCCCTTAAAAGGAAATGCATCTCTGTTGGTATGAGTAGTACTATTAATCCGTTTATATTAAATCTTAAGTGTTACAATTACCAAAAATTCTGATATTTGTCACACTCGGTTTTGTACCAGACAACACTGTTTCAGGCACTTCCCCATATAATTTCTTTGTAGGGCACTTGTTTAGTAAATATACTGCAGTATTTGCAGCCTCACCCCACAAAAACTTAGGCAGACCCTTCTCTTTTAGCATACATCTTACCATATTTAGAATAGTTCTATTTCTTCTTTCTGCCACTCCATTGTGCTGAGGTGTATAAGGTGCAGTCACCTCATGCACAATGCCACTTGCCTCACAGAATTTAGAAAACTCAGTAGATGTGTATTCACCACCCCCATCCGTTCTAAGAAATTTGATAGAATTTCCACTATGGTTCTCAACAAATTTCTTGAACCTTACAAATACATTTAACACTTCACCTTTGTTTCTTATGAAGTAGATCCACATAATCCTGCTAAAGTCATCTACAAATGTAACAAAATACTTGTTACCTCCCAAAGTAGCTTGCTCAAAAGGTCCACACACATCTGAGAAAATCACATCCAGCACCTTAGTTGATCTTGTGGGCACTTTATACTTATAGGACTCCCTGTGTTGTTTACCCACTGCACACTCTCCACAAACCTTTTCAGGTATTGTTATGCTTGGAATACTAATCACCATGCTCTTATCATGAAGTTGCTTTAAGCCCTTGAAATTTAAGTGACCCATCCTGGCATGCCACAGCCAATTATCATCATAAACAGATATAGCCTTCAAGCTTTGTACTTCAACAGTATTAACTCTAGCCTTGAAGATCCTGTTTTTGGATAGAGGAACCTTTAGTAACAATACATCATCTGGATCATATAAATCAAGATAGCCATGCTTCATAACGGACTTGAATCCTTTTTCTAGCAACTAGCCTAAACTCAGCAAGTTACACTTCATCTCAGGGACAAACAACACTTCCTTCAGTACCACTTTCTTTCCACCTTTTCCTGTCATTATCACATCACCTACTCCTTTTACTTCCACAGTACTCATATCAGCAAATTTTACACAGCACTTGGGTTCATCATTGAAATTAGCCAACCAAGACCTGTGTCCAGTCATGTGTTTGCTGCAGCCAGTGTCTAAATACCAGTCATCATTAAGATTTGGTTCTTCACAAGTTGTTGTCATTAAGACAAGTGGCTCTTCTTCTGGAGAGTGATCTTCCTCCACAACATAGGCCTCTCCCTCCTTGGTTTTATTCTTAGGTCTCTTATCTTTCCCTTCACCAAACCAACATTCATCTTTAAAATGACCAAACTTCTTGCAATTATAGCATTGTATTTTGGTTTTATCAAACTTCTTTTTCTTATTCCAGTTTTTCTTATTCTGACCCTTGGGACCCTTCTCTGATTTCTCAGCATCTTCCTTCTTGGTTTTCCACTTCCATTTACCCTTCTTGTCCCCACCTTTCTTGAAGTTATGAGCAAGTAATGCCTGCTCCTGCAGATCTGCAGCATCTCTCTCTATCATCTTTTGCTCATAAACTTCAAGTGTACTCTGTAAAGCTTCAGTGGTCATAGTTCTAATATCTTTAGACTCCTCCACCGCACAAGCTATATAATCAAACTTCTTTAGGAGTGTTCTCATAATCTTTTCATTGATCTCAGAAACTTCCATTTCATAACCACATCTTTGCATTGAATTAGACAGAGACACTACTTTATTAAAGTAATCAGCAACCGATTCATTTTCAAGCATTTTTAACAATTCAAATTGACGCTTGAAAGTTTGTAATCTTGCTCGTTTTACCTTGTCTCCACCAGAGTGACACTGCTCTAAAATCTTCCAGACTTCATGAGCAGTTTTAGCCATGGAGATCTTCTGAAAGTGTACATCATCCACAGCCTGATGTAGGAGAAATAAGGCCTTGCAGTCCCTCTTCTTTGCCTCTCGATATTCTTTGCGTTCCGCTTCACTCGGATTCTCTTTCAAGCTCGAAATTTCATTCTCTACTACATCGAGCACTTCCTGATATCCGAATATAACCTTCATCTGAATACACCATCGATCCCAGTTCTTCGCATCAAGAACTGGCAGATTGCCAAGAAAACCGCTTGAGCTTGACATATCCAATCTTCAGATGAATTAGGTCATACGCAGCGCCGTCCACAGTGGCGATCTTGTAATCGGTCCGGAGGAATGAGAGCTCTGATACCAGTTTGTTGGGGTGATCGTTTTGTAACTAACAATCCATTAGTTTATTAATCTACAGAAGAAAGGGGGTATTTTATTATTACAAAGCCACACACTACAAATGTGAACCAATCCTTACTATTTATAGTAGGATAGTCACTTATTCAGTCTATTACACGCAAGCACATATATGTACTGAACTCAATTTGAATTACAATTAATAATCAACAATATTCAGGTATTGTTTTTGTTTATGCCGTATTCCTTCTCTTAAAAACAATTTAGTTCCTTTCATTTACCAAGGTTAGGGTTACTTTCCGAAACCTCCACACTATGGGTAGTGGATATTATCCACTACCCATAGTGTACTGGTTCTTGCAATACCATAATGAAGAATGCTTTAACTTTGGCCAAATTTAAATACTTCACCAAAGTATGTTATCTCAAACATGAAAAGGATTTTACAATGTGATTGATTGAGAAAGAAAGGGATTATATGGTTGGAATATAACAGCAAGTCCAGCAACAACATTTCATATATCATTTCCATAACGGGTCATAAGTCATAACAACCTAATATGTACGAAGTAATACTTTTAACAACACTTTTGATGTAAGGGACATGAATTGTCCTGGCACTTAATGAGTGTTCTGGCCGGACCGTTATTAAAAAGTCTAACATTTAGTAACGGTTTTCAAACCCAACACGTAAAGTCTTAACTTTCAATAAGTACAAATATAAAGTTGGGTACAAAATCGTCATTAAAAGCCAATTTTAATTGACATTAAAGGTCGGTTTCCACTAGTGAAGTAACAAATCATGTTTGAATTTTTTAGAATTGAATGTTTTTTATCAGGTATAATTTATCTGATTTTAGTGGTTCTAATTTGATAAGATCCGAATAAGATAATATTTCCTTCGTCCCTCAATTAACTTCACACTTTTCTTTTTTGGATTTCCCAATTAAGTTCAAATTTCTATATTTGGAAAGTTTTTGGAATAAAATGTGAAGTTAAAAAATTTGGTTAAAGTTTGAACCTTATTTGAGTGCAGAACACCTAATACAAAGGGTGAGGGATACGTACGAAGGGTATGGGGAACTGAAAATCCTTTGAGTGCAGATGAAACTGACCCTTATTTGAAAATCCGAATAGGTATGGGGAGAACCTCGCCAGGGGCCAGGGATACGTACGAAGGGTCGGACGGCATGGAGGAAGAAGAGGAAGTTGACTTCCCGGCGTGGATGGTGAAGGCTCCAACAGCTGAGTGTGGTGACTTTGAGTTTGAGGAGGTCCTCCTTGAACGAGACGCTTCAAAGGAGAATAAATTTCTATGAAGTCTTGTTTCACTCCTTTATGTGATACTAGTATGTGTCATGTTCTTTGTGTGTGGATAATAATGTGCGCGACTATTACATGATGAGTGTGGATAATTGATTATGTTAAGGGGCTTTAAATTTAACATTTTTCCAACTATGTGTGCATGTATTGTACATGTTCAACCCGTTAGTGTAAGGTGTAGGATGCACGTGTTTGAAAATTGTGTTGTGCAGTTGTGTCTTTTTGTGCATTTCCTGATCAATAAAAAGTGACAGTGGACATGTTGAATCGCATTAGATGTTAAAGCCATGTGCATATAACAAATTTGTGCTTATGAAAAAGTTGGCTAGTACATTAAAAAATTGTACTTTAAGCCTTCGAGAGTACATACAAAAATAGTACATCACTACAAAAATACAAAAAAAAGATTAGAGGAATCTTCACCGATGAACTCATACTCTCATAGTCCAACAAGAGTTCATACTTCCACATATTTGTACATTTGTTTGGCAACAAACCCTGCTTTTCCAGTTTTGGACTTATCTCGATAATCTGAGTAGGGGTGGGATTTTGGAACTAAGAATCGGAGAACCATTGGAACGGAACTGTTAAAATCCGGTTCGGTTCGTATACATGAGTTATAAATTGTTAACGCTTCAATTCATATTCTTTGTTAACGGTTCGGTTCCCGGTTCCTACAAAACATATGTCTACAGAACCGTTAAGGAACCGTTATTAACAAAATAAAAAAAATTAAAGCATAATAAAAATAATAATAGTAATAATAATAGTAATAATTGTGACACCGCACCCGGATGTACTCGAATTTGAAATTTGACATGTATTTGAAATTCCTAGCGAATGAATTTCGTAGGATTGATTGGAATATTTAATTAATGTGAGATTAATTAAACTATTTATCGGGTCCATAAAATGAGAACGGACTACCAAATATTTAGTTGGGTCATAATAATAAATTATAGAAGCCCAATAAAGTGCCAACAAAAGTTGATGAAAATGTTTGGACAACCCGAGCGCTATTTTGGCCCAACCTGCCAGAAATAGCAGGAATAATTGGGAGGGACTTTCTACACCCACTTGGGGTATTCTGCCAGTCAAATATCTCCCAAATAAGTGAAGAGGGGGACAAGGGGATAGTTAGGCACGCAGGGGGTGGGAAGTCTCCTTTGAGACAAGAGCCCATGCCTATGTCCTATCTCACACAATTATTTGTGTTGATTGAGAAGGCATCTCTCATCCATCTCTCTTGCACTCTCTCGGCCAACCATAGGAGTAAGGAGCTCAGGGAAAAGCTCTCCCAAACACCATTGTTGAAGGAAGCTTGAGGGAAGACAACCCAAGAGGAAGGGAGCTAAGTTTAAGGTGAGAATCCAACTAGTGTTCTTTTACTAGTTTTATGATGAATGATTTTTAAGAAATCATGTGGTGGATTAAACCATGAGTTTTACACGTTTAAAAGTGTATAATATTGTTATAAAGTGGTGGTATTTAACTTAGAAGAGTCGTGGAATCGATAGGAGTTGATACTGCCGGAAACCGCCACTCCAAAGGAGCTGTTCGTAGAAGCAGACGACGAAAGCCGCCCAGCTTTCGTGAAAGCCGCCCGGCTTTCACCTTCTGCCCATATTTTTCGCGTTCGATCGGTTCAGAACGGGGGTTGATCGGAGGGCTTAATAAAGGCAACTATTTCAGCACTTCATAAGGTGAGGATGGCTGACTATATTGCTTATAATCTTTGGGTTAATTTCATAAGATTACCTAAAGTAATTAAATGTGATTTTCATGGATTATTAATGCTTAATAATGCCTAAATGAAAATATCATTGTTTGTGAATAGAAGATGCATAACATACAAATTTATGAGAGATTGTGTATGATGATGCATAATAAATGTGAAGGTATAATGATTGTATAAAACATGAATTTTTGTGATAAAATATACTTTTACTTCATGTATAGAAATCATGAATGGATAAAAGTGATATTTTTGATATTGAGATTAAATCGTATACGGATTAGAAAATCCATAGGAATGAGCCTTATAACTATGAGTTAAGGAGCTTGGCTGTTTAAAGATTTATGGATTAGTATTTAATTTACTAATCGGGAATGTTGTATAAAAAGTGATAGAACAAATCCTAAGGACTTGGATTGTGAAGGATGCACCTTAAGTAGTCTTATGAGATGCCTTAAGGTAGGAATGGGTAACCACTAAGTTACATTAGGAGTAGGCCTCATTGGCTACTCAAGATTGAGGAACTCTAGGCATAGAATTTGCTAGTGAGTTAGTATCGTGACTAGAGGAAGCCTCTAGCACGATGAAGAATGACTGGAGGAAGCCTCCAGCATTCGTGTAGGACGAACTAGTATCGTGACTAGAGGAAGCCTCTAGCACGATGAAGAATGACTGGAGGAAGCCTCCAGCATTCGTGTAGGATGACTAGAGGAAGCCTCTAGCATAATGAAATGTGACTGGAGGAAGCCTCCAGCACAAAGTATGTAAGGTGATTAGAGGAAGCCTCTAACACCGAATTTAGTGACTAGAGTAAGCCTCTAGCACGGCAAAACATGACTAGAGGAAGCCTCTAGCATGGTGAATTAATATAGATGGGCGTGGCTTGAAGTCACGGGAAAAGGGTTGAACGTTTTCAAAGTAAAACATGGGTCTCGGACCGACTACTTGACTTTATATATATAAAGTAAGTATATTTTCAAAGAGGGTAACCACGGGTTATGACCTATATTATATTATCACCCTATGTGAGGGTCTTGGAAATTGAAACTTTGATTATACTTAGTATAGTTGTCATTGTACTTGTCAAATGCTTCCAAGTACTGACCTCCCCTTCACGGGGGAGGCCACCTCACAGTTTCAGGTAGGACTTGAAGGTTGCTACCGCCGTCGTTGCTTCGGGGAGATTCAAGGGAGGAGACGTGGTTCGTGCTTCTTCCGTTCCTGTTTTGAAAACATTTTAAATATTGCTCATGGATACTATTTGAATATTTATTGGGGCTTGTACGCCCGTGTTTGCCACGTGTGGCATGGATATTTGTATTAACGTTTCCGCTGCTTGATTAAATATTTTGCATTATGATTGTTTATGGATGTACTATTGTGAATGATATTCATGACGCCTAGTATAGTATGGATGAGTTGGACTGCGGTTGACTATTCGTACTGTACGGCGGGTTGTTGACGTGTCCGGTAGGTCCGGGGCGTGACAATTTAATTGGTATCAGAGCCTTAGTCCGTAAACTTCATAATGAAGCTTCAAAATCCTTTTTGAAAATGATTTTGAAAACCATGAGCATAAAGTTTTGTACTTATAGAACTTTTGGTACTTGAGTTGCAAGGTCTCTAATTGTTAAGATGGTACCCTTAACAATTGGCATGGCGGCGATTTGAGCCAAGGGATGTCTTTAAGTGCCTATCCGTCATTTGACATTTGATACGGGTCTAATGACTCAATCTCTATCTCTTTCAGAAATGGAACGTACCGGTAAAGTCACTCGAAGAAACCCGACTGGCCAGGCACGGGGAGGATCCCAACATGGCAGTCGAGGGGCATCGAGGGCGTCTCGTGGGCAGGGCCGTGCGGGTCACTCGTTAACGGTGAGTGACGGTCATGTGGAGACAATCGATGAACAATACGATTCCGAGGAGGATTCGACGTATCAACCGGGAACCGAGCCGGTTGAGACCCCATATGATGGGGAATATGATGATGATGATGAGAGCGACGACGATGACGCTCTAGAAAGGATGGAGGAGCTGCTCCGTCAATACCAACAGGATCGCCAAAGGCGCCGGGCAAGGCGTGCTTTGGGAGGGGCTTCCAGGGGAGGAAGCCGTGTGGGTTCTAGGGGACATGTAGAGTCCCGGAATGATCGAGGTACCGAGGTCCCGATAATAAGGATCTCAAAGTACCTCAAGGAGGCAAGAGACTTGGGGTGTAAACCGTTTGATGGAACGGGAGACATCTCCATTGCGGCCGAGTGGATCAAGAGATTCAACGAAGCGGCTCTTGACATGGAGCTGCCGCCGATCATGAAGTTGAGAGTGGCAACGAGGTTGCTAGAGGGAATGGCGTCCACGTGGTGGGACAGTGTCAAGGGGAAGTATGGTGAGGCAGTCACTTGGGAGAACTTCCGTCAAGAATTCTTTAACCAATACTACTCCGACTTCGAGGTGAACTTGAAGAGGAGGGAATACACCAACTTGACCCAAGGAGGCAAGTATACCGTGAGGCAACTCGAGCATAAGTTCAGGGAGCTTGCCGAGTTCATTCCGGAGTACATATGTGATGAGAACCGGATGGTGAACCACTTCTGGGATGCCTTGGACCTTGACATACGCGAGAGGGCAACACAATTGCCTAATATGACGTTTAGTCAAGTTGTTGAGCAAGGCTTGAAGGGGGAGAAAGAATGGGAAGAAAGAAAGCGGAGGAATGTCGAGGAGGCAAAGAAAAGAAAATGGGAGAACCAAGGCTCCCAAGGTTCCAATAAGAAGGGGAACCACGGGGGAGGGAGCTCATTTAGGACTCCTGCACCGCCATCTAGAGGAAACCCGGGAATGAGTGGACAACACTCGGAATCACAAGTCTCAAAAGCGCCAAAATGCAAGAATTGCAAGAGGAACCACGTGGGCAAGTGTCGTGATCCCCCGAGGTGCTATCAATGTGGTGATACGGAGCACATGAGGTCGAGTTGCCCACAACTTGGGCGAGCCGTGAGTGCCGGGCCGAGTGGTGGGACCACGATGAGCAGGAACCGGACAGCGGCACCTCACGCAAACACGGGGCACGGTGGAGCTAGCACAAGTAATGCACCGTCCGTGAATCAAGGGAGGACCCGAGCGAGGGTCTATGCGATTACGGAAGCCGATGCACGTGCTAACCCGGACTCCGTCGCGGGTAAGTTCTTGAACTTTTGATGTTATTTCCTTGTAAACAATATAAGTGTTGAAATGTTCACGTTGTATAGCCAACCGGGCTGTGCAAGTCCGAAGAAGTGGATAAATATCCACCTGGGACGAAAGCCGCCCGGCATTGACGGAAGCCGCCCGGCTTCCGCTCCCGAATTATTTGCAAAATCCTACGGCGGCTA